TCCTTTCCTCAACTGTCCTTTTCCATTTCACACATATTGATCTTTCCATATGTTTTAAATAATGATGAAATTAATAGAAACTGTTCTTAATAAATCCAAATCATAACTCCTTTCCTGCCCACATATTGTTAAGGAGACTAAGGTGAAAAATCTGCTTAAGCATTAGGAAAACCTAAGAAGAACCAAGAACAGCTTTAGAAGAGAAACTGAAAGATGACAATGAACTAGGAAGGCAATTTGCAAGATGGGTGTAGGACGGTATTTCAAAAAGGAGGATTCTGAGGTGGGATGAGACAAGGCCAGAGCCCAGGTAAAATAAGACAGAAGGGAGAAATAGCACCAAGGACTGTGTGTTGGACCCACTTGTTAGCTGTGAGTCAATGAAAAAGACATGCCCTGTAAAATAAGCTAGGTCTGCCTGTGAATTCCAACAGTCTTAAATATGTATATATGGCATTGAGCAAAAGTTCTCAATATTTTTTGAACCTGAGTTATTTATGAGTCATGAGAGATTTAATTAGCTGAACTACAAAGAAGAATCAATAGGACAACATCATGCAGTTCCCAGCAGAGTCTGGCACTGTGGGTGCTGGGTAAACAAAGGCCCTCTGCACCCATCAGACACAAGCAGCTGAGCAGAGGGAAGCCAACTCAAAGACCCCCTTCATAAGCAGGCTGGGCAGTCCCACAAGTCACCCCAAATTTTGTTCATAATTTATAGTTATTTTCTTTATGATCCTAATTATTCTTATAAATCAGTAACAGAACCAATTTTTGAAAAATTCATAATCTAGGAAAAATAAAGCTATTTAAAAGTATTTTTTTTCTTTTTATTTTTATCCTCACCCGAGGACATTTTTCCATTTTTTATTCAGATAGAGTGGCGGAGGGGAGGAAGAGAAAGAGAGAAACATCAACGTTAAAGGGACACATCGAGTGGCTGCCACACTCACGACCAACCAGGGCCAGGGACAAACTGCAACCGAGGTACGTGCCCTTAGTGGGAACCGAACCCGGGTCTCTCTGGACCGCAGGCCGACGCTCTAACTGCTGAGCCAAACCGCGAGGGCTAAAAGTATTTTTTTCGCCTGGCTGGTGTGACTCAGTGGTTGAGTGTCGACCCATGCACCAAGAGGTCACCGGTTTGATTCCCACTCAGGGCACTTGCCCAGGTTGTAGGCCGGATAGCCAGCGGGGGGCATGCAGGAGGCAGCCAATCAATGTTCTCTGTCATTGATGTCTCTGTCACTAATGTTTTTATCTCCCTCTCCCTCTCCTTCCTCTCTAACATCAATAAAGAAAAAAGAAATTAAAAAAAGTATTTTTCTCAATCATACTAATAAACCATAAACTTACACTGTGGTCAATGCTCTTTGATAAGGTCAATGTTTTAGCTATTGGAATAGCTAAAACTGGTCCAACCAATATTTAAAACAGTTGACTTGGAATGTAACATTTTAAATTTTGGTTATTCAATATATGAATTATTATTTTTTAAATATAGAGGTGACTATTTTTTTACATAATTAATTTGCTATCATATTAGATCAGCAATTTTCATCTCATGACACACAGCCTAATTACTAAAATTCTGTGGCACACCAAACAATATATTATATTTTTTTGCCAATTTGCCAAAAACGTAGATATAATTTTGATTCATTCACACTGGACAGCTATTGTGTTGGTTCCTGGTTTTTTTGGACAATCTAAGGGAAAAGAGGTCAGTGCCCCCTGACTGAATAGTCAGGTACTGCGTGTTTTGAAATTTCTTGTGCTGTGGCACATTGGTTGAAAATTGCTGTTAGATGAAACCATGACTTTACATGATAGTACCACAGAACACTATCTGTGAGACATCTACTTCACAAATATTTTTTTAAAACATCTTTTTAATATCTTAGAGCTTATTTCAATTTCAACACTTTATTAGTTACTACTGACATAATTCGATACTTTCAGATTTAGGAAAGCATTTGTAAAATGACCATGCCACAGTGTAATATTCAGAGGGCCCTGGATCTTAAGGCAGTTTTAAATCCCAGTGGTGGTCTTTGATCCAAACAGCTGAGTATCATGCAGACAAGTGTGTCACCCAGAGGCAAAAGGGAGAAATTCACTTTGGATTTTGTGAGACTAATAACTGTTAAAATTTATAAAATTATTTGCTATTACTTATCTTATTAAAAAATAAGAAAAAAATTAGGTTATCTCTTCAGGAACAAAGCCTTTAGTGCCACACTACATAAAAGTGTGGCTCTTTAAGAACTCTCACAAGATGGAACAAGCCATGAGACAGTACTCGTCACAGGTGTACAGTTTGCCAATCAAAAAATTGAAAGTAACTGCACTGTTTACAGTGAAAGCTTTCTTTTCTTTTTATAATTAATATAACATGTGTTTCCAGAAGTACATATAAGTTCTGGAACAACCACCATGATCTTTTTAGACATGTGAACAAAAAGTTAAACTAATTACCAGAGACATTTCTTACTTAAATGAGAAAAGTTTCTTTCATTAAAAGGTCTTCTGAGTAATTTTCTTCTGGCAAAGGAACAAAGTTTATTTACAGTAATTCTGTTTGGCAGACAGAGCTTCTAAAATATATACCAAATAATTGTAAAGGTTAAAGCAAAACAGTCAATTCTAGTAAACACACAAAAATTGAAGCTTTTAATGGTCTAAACAATAGGCAGATTATAAAATAGAGATTTATGATATCCCCATTTCATCTTAGAAGTCTGGACATTGGAAATACTGCTAGCAATGGGCCATGATTTAAGATATACATTATTTCACAAAGAACTACCAAAGATCAAATTAACAAAAAACATGGCATACATTAAAATGTGAAAATGGTTTTAAGTATATTTGAAAACTCCTTTTTCTACAATGTAAAATCCTATTTTTTGAAACAATGTTTTGGTTTCTTAAATGTTATTTCATCTCATTATATTGTTTCATTTTCACTGTAACACACTTTAAAATAAGCAGATGAGCCCTGGATGGTTTGGCGCAGCGGTTAGAGCATCAGCCTGCGGTCCAGAGACCCGGGTTCGATATCCGCTAAGGGCATGTACCTTGGTTGCAGTTTGTCCCCGGCCCTGGTTGGGTTGTGTGGGTGGCAACCATTCGATGTGTCCCATGTGTCGATGTTTCTCTCTCTCTCCCTCCCTCCCACTCTATCTGAACAAAATATGAAAAAGTGTCCTTGAGGGGAAAAAAAATAATAATAAAATACATAAATAAATAAATAAAATAAAACAAAACAGGCAGATGATTCTAAACTCATATCTATTTACATAACTTTCTAGAAAACTTATTCTAGAAATACTGTTTACTGCTGACTTCAAATTTGTTTTTATTCAATGAGAAGATTCTACAATTGATTATTTCCAAGTAAATTTTTTTTCAGCAAAATACTGCTTTCAAGTACATCACTGTTAACAATATCTTCCTTTCTGGGTTCTGTCACTGAGGGAATCTGGAGAATTATTATCTATGAGAATTAATTCTCTTCCCTATTTCTACTCCTTAATCTTTCACATGCCAAGAGTTGCATCATTCTGCAAAAGATGCTTCCACCTACAATAATGGCTGCAAAATATCTTAGCACAGAGCACAAATGGTTCTGCTTTCACGTCTATTTCTACTTTTATTTGGGAAATAAATGAGATTATGGATCTAAGTCCAGCTTGATATTTAAATGTGCTTTACATGTTGAAACTGGAGCAAATATGACAAAAACAACTCAGAAGGTCAGTATGGTTTAATTACTTCAGATAAAAGCTCAATGATCAAAGCTCAAATAGTTTTCAGGAAATATATCGCAAGAGTTTGGTTGGGAAGGTTCAAGTGCATTCTGAAGCAACAAAGAACAGCTGGTTAATCAGAAGAATGACCTCTTACATGTATCCTATGAGTATCAAAAAGTTTGTGGGTCTTCATCACATATTCAAGAATAAAAGAAATACAGAAAGGATGGCTACTTATACTTCATGAATGATTCGAGTTCATTAATATCTATAATTTAAAGAGTAAATTCCAAAAAACTTCTCCTATCTCAAATTGGCAAAGAAACCTAGTGATAAAATTAAATGCCTTAAAATTTCTTGAATCTTTCCTATTCCTTCTTTCCATCTCCAGTGCAACTATCTTAGTTCTCATCACTTAAAAAAGTCTATATTCATTTAACTACTTCCTAATTAATCTGTCTCCAGGCCCAACCTCCTACTCTACCCTATCACTGTCATATTTTAAAATCCATCCTCTGAACAGAATCCAGAATAATCTCTGTTAAATACAAACCAATCATATCCCTTGACTGGTTGATATTCATGCAGAAAATCAAGAGTCAGAGAGTGTTCCTGGCCCCCTTCCCCATCCTCTGCCCAATGGCAGGGGGCTTCTCAAGGGAGGAAGGCTCTGGTCACATCCCACCCTGCACACCCAGGATCTACAAAGAGGGGTTATTGCTATTGGCTCCTTTGGGCTTTGTTTCAACTTAACCACCAGTCATCTTTCTTTGTGGGAGAAATTAAAATAAGTCCTAATCAGGAAATGTCAGGACCCCTAATTTATGGGTGAGATCTTCCACAAGAACATCTTAACTTCTAAACAATAGTTTTCAAACATTTTTAAATGACCAGAATAATTTTCTTCAACAATATCTAATGTAGAACCCCAACCAAAACTGGCTAAAATAGTATTTTTGAAGCTGACAACAGAGGCAGAGGTTTGAGCATATAGAAATGTACAAGCCATAAAATAAAATTCAAATTTGGTTGGTCCAGTGCAAAGTCAGTGGGAAGAAGAAACAGAGATGTGATAAAAATCTGATTTACATTTTTGAAAGACCAGTGTGTTGTTGTGTGTAAGAGTCGAAACTACTGAGAATTTTTAACATTTCTGATGTATTTTCATAAACCCCATTAAACCTGGGAAGAGTTATATGTACTTTCCAAATAATGAGCTACCAATGTAAAGGAGTCACAGAATACCTGATCCTCGCTGGTTAATCCCAGATGCATCACAAGGTAAAAATGCACCAGGAAGTCTGAGTTTGGCAGAACGTCCTGGCGTCTGGTCATCATGGCACAGATCAGTTTGTAGGCTTGTAGTTTGCCTTCCTTATATTCATTTGGCAATGTCGTAGCCTGCCAAGAATATGATGTTTAATGATTTAATCAACTCCAGACACAGCAGAGAATTTTAACATTTAATTTACTTCTCAATTTTCCATAAGAATTGTTTGTGGAGATGTGGGATGCACTGGCTTTAGTAAGACCCAGTCTGTCTTCAAAACATGCAGTCTTGGGCAATTACATTTTTAAAACTCAATTTCAGAAAGGAAAAGGAAATTACAATAAAGGAATAAAAACATATCCACTTGCCTTAAATAGCCATGATGCAAACATTCTGAGTGGTGGGATCAAGACCGGAGGAGATGGAGAAGATTGGTTATCCAAGCTTATTGCTAGATTATCCCGTATCTAATTCACAAAGAGAAGATTAGGGAAGGCAACACAGTTTATCCCAACAATATTCCAATACTGTGTTCCATGGTCACCTAGCTGCTTCCAATACAATTTCCGTAAGTTGAGTGAGAAGCTACAATATTTACAAGTTTTTCTTTTATTGTCCTTTTGAATTTCAGGTCTAACTTACTGTATGTATTTTTAGATTTAATACAAAACTAAGGCATTGTTTTTCCTTGAGTATTAATGCCTGGAGAGGTCCTGGACTCCATATGATAAGGAATGATTCAACAAATTATACTGTATAAACATGAATCATGTTTTTGAAAAAAATATATAACATGGGGAAAATGTATGTTACAAACAAAAATCAGAATAAAAAGGCCCCGGTAGCTCATTTGGGTAGATGATTATCTTGATACACCAAGGTTACAAGTTGGATCCGTGGTCAGAGCACATTCAAGAATCAACCAATAAATGCATAAAATAAGTGGAAAAACAAATCAATATTTCCCTCTCTCTTCTTCAGTCTGTCTCTAAAATCAATAAAAATAAATAAATAAATAAATAAATAAATAAATAAATAAATAAATAAATAAAAGCGTATGTACTCTAGCCCTGGTTTGGCTCAGCAGTTAGAGCACTGGCCTGTGGACTAAAGGGTCTCAGGTTCGATTCCAGTCAAGGGCATATACCTGGGTTACAGGTTTAATCCACAGCCCCAGTTGGGGTTGTAAGGGAGGCAACCAATTGATGTGGCTCTTTCACATCGATGTTTCTCTCTCTCTCTCCCTCCTTTCCACTCTGTCTAAAATTCAGTGAAAAAATATCCTCAAATGAGGATTTAAAAAAAAAAGTGTAGGTACTCTAATATACTACTTTTGCAGAAATCTGTTTATCTCTAGGAATAATACCATATATTAATGTTGATTATCTCTGTGGGAGGGTGATGTCAATTGTCTTGACTTTTCTACATTTTTTCAAATTTTATATAATAAAACCAGCATCATTTTTATAAAGAGGGTAATTAAAACTACTGAATAATGCCCTATTCTTTAATATACTATAGTAATAATAACATTTATGCATTAAATGAAACGACTCTTCCATATTTATATAATGACCAAACTATAAGTATTATTATTTATTCTTTGATAATCAAACATATTCTGTGTAAACACTTAATTATTAATGCAGAATGTGCCCAGTAGTGAACTGCAACACAGTTTTTATGAAACTAAGTCAATTTTCCATATTAAAATAAAAGGTAACATAGCAAGAGTACCTTTGCTAGTTTGTACCAGAGTTCATAGAGATAGCCAAAAACTTTGGCATGGATCTTGGGAGACTGGATATTATTCACATCTCCGAGGATTCCCAAGATTCTTCGCCATAACACAGCAGCACAGTCTGGATGCCAACCAGTGAGGTTCCCTCCAGCGATTATGCTACAATCATCTGCAAGGTATTCGCTGCTATCTATTGAGAAAAATGTGTGTTAACCCAGGAAACACAATCTGATACACAATCTTGATTTCATCATAGAGCCCTTTTTCTTTAATGAAAATTACCAATGCTTGAAAGTTTATATATTCAGAGTAAAATAATTAAAATGAAAATTTTCTATTTGACAATTTTTTCCTGAATTAATTTTTAAAAAAAATTTTTTAGAATAATTTTAGATTTACAAAGAACTAGTTAATATGGAGTTCCCATATACTCCATATTAAGTTTCCTATATTGCTAAATTTCTTACATAAGTGTGGTACATTGTTAAAATTAATGAACCAATATCAAAACGTTACCATAAAGTCCATACTTATTCAGATTGCTTTTGTTAATTTTTATCTAATGTAAAGACAGGATTTCAACCAGGATATCACAATATATTTAATTGTCATGTTTCCTTAGCCTCCTCTGGCTCTGACATTTTCTCAGATGTTCCTTGTTTCTGAAGATGTTGAGAATTTTGAGGAGTTCTGATTAGATATTTTGTAAAATGTTCTTTAATTGGGATTTGTCTAATGTTTATCTCATGATGGATTTTTTTTTTCTTTTGCATTTGTGTTCCTGGAATGAATTTTTCTTAGCTCTGATCTATGAGCCTTTCCCAATATTCTTAGATTTCATTTGCTAATGCTTTATTTAGGATTTTTATTTACATGCTTTTAAGTAAAATGGACTCTAATTTTCCTTTTAAATATACACCTTGTCTGGTTTCATTATCAAGGTAACACAAGTTATATAAAAGAAATCAGGGAGCTTTCTTTCTAGTGCCTGGAACAGATTAGAAAAAAAACAGTTTCTAATTTATTTAAAGTTTCAGTAAAACTAGGAATTGTTCTTTATTTTTATAAATATATTCAAACTAACTTACTGTATTATTTTAAAATTTTATATTGTTTTTGTAGTTCCGTTCCTTTTTCACTCCTAATATTTTTTCCTTGATCAATCTTGCCTATTAGTCTATTTTATTGTTTTTAAAGAGTTGGTTTTGAGGAGAATCATCTGTAACAAAAATTAATCAATAAAAAATAAATTTAAAAAAAAAGAGTTGGTTTTGTCTTCTCTATTGCTTTCTAGCACATATGTGTATGTACTCTGCTTTACAAGTACCCTTTTTATTAAATTTTATATATTATTCTGCCATTTTTCCCTAATTTTTTGAATAGGACACATAGATCAATATTTTCCTCTTTTAATATAAACTAAGAACATATATTTTTCTCCATATAAGTCTTCAGCAACATTTTAGAGCTTCTGATATGTAGTTTTCATTGTAGTCAAGACAGAAATATTTCCTAATTTTTAATTTAATTTCTTTTTGGGCTTAATTTATCTAAAGTGCAGCTTTTAGTTTCTTAATGTATTTTTGTTTCATTACCTGTTTGTTCCTAGAATGTGGTCTAGTTTCAAAGCATGACATTTGTTGAGACTTGCTTAAAGATCTAGTTGGTCAATTTCTGAAAATGTGCTATGTGCTTTTAAAAATAACCTGTACAATCCCCATCAAAATACCAACGACATATTTCATAGAACTAGAACAAATACTTCAAAAGTTCATATGGAACCAAAAAAGACCCCGAATAGCCACAGCAATCTTGAAAAAGAAGAACAAAGTTGGAGGGATCACATTACCAGATATCAGGTTATACTACAAAGCGACTGTAACCAAAACAGCCTGGTACTGGCACAAGAACAGGCATATAGACCAGTGGAACAGAACTGAAAACCCAGAAATGGACCCAAGGCAATACGCTCAATTAATATTTGACAAAGGTGGCAAGAGCATACAGTGGAGTAAAGACAGCCTCTTTAATAAATGGTGTTGGGAAAATTGGACAGCTACATGCAAAAAAATGAAACTCGACCATCAACTTACACCATACACAAAAATAAACTCAAAATGGATAAAAGACTTAAATGTGACCCGTGAATCCATAAAAATTCTAGAAGAAAATGTAGGCAACAAAATTTCGGACATCATACGGAGCAGAATTTTCACTGATACATCACCTAAGGCAACAGAAATAAAGGAGAAAATGAACACATGGGACTACATCAAACTAAAAAGCTTCTGCACAGCAAAAGAAACGATCATCAAAATGGAAAGGCAACCCACTGTATGGGAGAACATCATTGCCAATGATGTATCAGATAAGGGGTTAATTTCCAATATATACAGAGAGCTCACACAACTCCACAAAAGGAAGACAAAGAACCCAATTAAAAAATGGGCAGAGGAGCTGAATAGACACCTCTCCAAACAGGACATACAAATGGCCAAGAGACATATGAAGAAATGCTCAACATCACTAATCATCCGAGAGATGCAAATTAAAACAACAATGAGGTATCACCTCACACCTGTCAGAATGGCCGCCATCAACAAATCATCAAACAACAAGTGTTGGCGAGGGTGTGGAGAAAAGGGAACTCTAATACACTGCTGGTGGGAATGCAGACTGGTGCAGCCGCTATGGAAAACAATATGGTGCTACCTCAAAAAATTAAAAATTGAACTTCCATTTGACCCAGTGATCCCACTGCTGGGAATATACCCTAAGAAGCCTGAAACACCAATCAGGAAGAATATATGTACCCCCATGTTCATAGCAGCACTATTTACAATAGCTAAGATCTGGAAACAGCCCAAGTGTCCACCAGTAGACGAATGGATCAAAAAGCTGTGGTACATATACACAATGGAGTACTATGCAGCGGTAAGAAAGAAAGATCTCTTATCCTTTGAGACGACATGGAGGGACCTGGAAAGTATTATCCTAAGTGAAAGAAGCCAAGCAGAAAAAGACAAATACCACATGATCTCACTTATATACGGAATATAATGAACATAACAGTCTGAGGAATACAGTAGACCCAGACACATGGAAGTAGGGCACAGACTGACATCCCTCAGAAGAGGGGATGGGGGGTGGGGGGGTGGGAAGAGATAAACCACAGAACTTATATGCATGTATGCATGACCAATGGACATGGACAACTAAGCCGGGGACAGGGTGGAGGGGGTGGGGTGGGGGGTGCCAATGGGGTAAAAAGGTAAAATATCTGTAACAAAAAAATAAATAAAAATTCATAAAAAAAAAATAAATAAATAACCTGTACATTTTAATTAAGTTCAAAGTTTTATATATGTAAAAAATCTCCATTCAATATATATCTCCATTAATTGTACTGCATAAGTCTTCTCTAGTCTAATATTTTTACTTAATTCATCATTTTTTTAGAGTTGTTATTAAAATTTTCTACTATGAATATGGTTTTATCAGTAGTTCCTTATAATTAAAAAAAATTTTTTTCTTTATTGATTTTAGAGAGAGGACTGGCCGCCTCCTGCATGCCCCCACAGGGGATTGGGCCCACAACCTGAGCACGTGCCTTGACCAGGAATCAAACCAGCGACCTCTTGGTGCATGGGTCAATGCTCAATCACTGAGCCACACTGGCCAGGCAGTAGTTCCTTATAATTCTGCCAAAGTTTTCTCCATATATTTGAGGCAATTGTGTTAATATAAATTCAGAATTATTGCTGTCACTAATAAATGATTTTTGCTTTAAGGTTTATGTGACATACATAAACTGTACATGCATACAGCTAAACCAGTGTTCCATCTTTCTTCCTATCTAGCAATGTATTTATTTAATTAGTATCTCTTTGCTTTGCTTTTCTTTTGAATCTTTGGAGGTAGTTTAAAAAGTTGGTTCCTGCCCTTGACAGCTTGGCTCAGCAGTTAGAGTGTCAGTCCATGGACGAAAGGGTTTTGGGTTTAATTCTCAGTGAAGAGCACATACCTGGGTTGCAGGTTTGATCCCCTGCCCTGGTCGGGGGTCAAGAAGGAGGCAACCAATTGATGTCTCTCTCACATCAATGTTTCTCTCTCTCTTTCCCTCCCTCCCTCTAGCCCATTTCCACTATCTCTAAAAATCAATAGAAAAGAATTCTCGGGTGAGGATTAACAATAAAAAATAAAATAAAATAAAATAAATAAAATAAAATTAAATTAAAATAAAATAAAATAAAATTTTGGTCCCATCTCCACCACTAACACCCTTTCTCTATTATCTTACACCATTTGTTATTAACATAATTATTCCCAAAGTTCTATTCCTCACAAATTTCCCACACAAATAAAGAAAATCTGATTTCTAGGCAATTTTTAATTCCCACTAAGTGTCATCTTGAGTACATATATTGTTAGTGCTTTTAAGACCTAAACAAAGAAATTGAAGTACAGTTGGTGAATGTGAGGAACTCAAGTAGAGGAATGACAAGAACCAACAAGGAGCAAGAAGGAGTGAATCTGACAAGGAGCCAAAGCAGATCCAAGAATGGTCTGCATCCTTCCCTGCACCCCAGGACAGCTGTTAGTATCTCACTGTGTTAGACAATGAAGGATCCTAAGATATCTGTTATTTCCCACATAAGTATCCCATAATCTATTGAAGCAATCCAATAAAACTTGCAGATCAAATTCAAAATGGAATTCCTAAACACTGTGCCTGAAAGACAGGAGGAACATGCCTACTGTTTCCAGGGACCTGTGAGTATAAACTTCTTCCTTCATGATAATCATTTCCATGTCTGCATGTCTCATCATACTTGATTAAAACAAATCCCGGGTACAGTTTGAAATAATGCACAAGAAATTTAGCTGTTATTTTCAGTAAACATTAAATGATTTAAATGAGAAAGCAGATATAAAACTAAACTGTTAGTTTGCCAGTGATGGGAATTGATGATTTTAGAAGTTTGTTTTAATCACTTGATAATTGGTAGAATTATTTAGTAAGAAACAGATACACTCAAATTGTTTGAATACTCTCTTTGCATGTCCTAAAGGTCAAGCTAACATGAGTTTTATTTTGTACATTTATAAAGAAATCCCTCTCTTAAGAACAGAAAGTTAAATTCAGAACTGTGATAATCCTTAAACCTTATCATATTACAGTTTGTCCTTTTCACAGATGACAAGATGAACTACTGAACTGAGTATATTGATTCTCTATATTAGTATTTCAAAGAACTAAGTATTTGGAGGAATTAATCATGACACAGAGTGTGCATCATATACAATTACCTCATATAAGTTTATTAAATTGAACTATCCCATGTATACTCTGAAATAGGATAAAAACAAAACTATCCAAAGGATAGACAAAAAAAGTAATCACCCAATTTTCTTTCTTTTTAACAAAAATAATTAGTTCTTGTTTAAATAAACTGAACTTATTAAAGATTCAGTGTTGCCTTCAATTAGTGCCACCATGAGTTCCCTTGGGTAGTCTGTATGCATATTGACTCCAAGGAAGCCATTTATTCCACAAATGTATTTATAATCTTCAACTAGTTAAAGAGTGTTTGCAGTAATAATTTTAATAGCAATGTAGTAGAAGGGAGTAGACAGCACTGCATGTGGAGTCAAAACACTTTAAAATCCAGTTCCAACTCTGGCACTTAACTTCTAGCTAGACAAGATTTCTCTGGGACTCAGTTTTCTCATCTCTAAAACAGAATTTGTAAGACTTGGCCTGCTTACCATACAGAACCAAAAAGTATGTCTCAAAGTTCTTTGTAAAACTGTTAAATCCCATATAAATTTACAGTATTATTATTCAAAATAACTATATATAAAAAATTTTACATCACTTTTAAAAGAAACACAAATTTGAGAAATACAAATTGCTGCTACCCACTAATTTATAAAACTAAGCACATGATTTTGCCAACCATTTTCTCATTGCTCTTGTAAGGCTTCTACCATTGGCAGATTTGAATGCACAAACCAAAACTGTCCACTATCTTTTAAGGACAGCACTACAGCATTATAAGGCAATACGTTATTCACTTGGTCTGTTTTTCTTTATTATTTTATTCTCAAAATTCGCACACATTAAATACACATTAAGATCAGACTCTGTCGTCTCATCTTACAGATAATACATTTTATCCAACACCATTTTTCTATGTAAACTTTATAAAATTTTAATGTTACTCCATCAGAAAGTTCCAAAATACCAGAGACTTTGGTTAAACTTTATGTTATTATTAATAGAAAGCAAAGTTTCCTTGGTAAAATAAAACAAAAAAAGAAACTAAGGTAAAACTTTAGACTTTATATATATTAAAATCATTTTTAGCATTTTAATAATACTTTATACTCAACATGTGCTTTATAGTTTGTTTGTTTTTCATAAAAGATATATGTATGTAACCATGAGTATAGTAGACCATGAAAGACTTGGCTATGGTCAGTATTTTCCACACTGAGTTCCTCAGAATACTAGTCTCTCCTGATACTTACAAAAACAAAGCAAAACAAACACCCAACTCTTTTTTGTTTTCCCCATTCTCATCAGTCCCATCACACAGGTGAGGTTACTGAAGGTTTCTAGGTTTGTGTATGCAGGGTCATATAATATGCACATGTGTGCTTATGCATGTATGTGTGCACGTGAATAGCTAAAACTGCAGAGCACTTCCATTCACACTATTCTGTGCACTAGAATTGTATGTTCACTCATTCATTCCTCCAACTCTGTAGTAGGGACAATTATTAACCCTATTTTACAGAAAAGAAGTCAAAGGAGAGCAAAATTAAGTAACTAGCTCAAAGCCACCTAGCAATTCCTTGGCAGAGCCTGGATGCATACCCAGAGGGTTTGGCTCTGTAGTCAATGCATGAATCTTAGAAGTATAATACTTGGGGGTAAAGGTGTGAAAAATACAGAGTATAACATCATTTTAAAAAACACGATATATTTGATTGTTTGAGGACACAGGTACATGTGGTAAAACCATGAAGAAATCAAGGGATTATAAAAAAAATTGGAGATAAGGTCACAGGATGATGGGAGAGAAGAAGGGATTTGAGAAGACCCTCTAGGAAATCTTACTGGTTTGGATGCTGTTCTATTTCTTAAGTTGTGTACTAGGCTCACTGCTGCTCACTTTATTACTGTAGCCCATAACTTACATAAATGTCCTAACTTGCCTTGTATGTATCAAGTGTTTTATAGTAAAATTTCAAACATATTAATCAATAAGCTATTCAAAGTCTTAAACTCATCCTGGATTTAGTACCCTTATAAAGTGGATAAAATCATTCTTCTGTTTCCAGAGTAAAGCTTGACGTATCAGCGTTTCCTCCTGTGGTGAATTACGGCAGTGGGCATGATATACTTCTTCCATTATCTGGCCACTGTTTTAGAACCCTCTCAACACATGTCTCAGAATTCACGACTGATTATAAACAGGTAGTTAAGGGCTGCCACAACCAATTTGGTTGCAGGTGGCACTCCCATCATCACTGTGCTAAAGGATCCCCAAATTTTTTCCAACTAGGAAATTGTAGGATATCCCTCCTGTTAACATAGTTGCCTCCTTTTCAAAGACAGTTAATTACCTGTTAAGTTTGAAGCATCGGTGGGACTCAGTTGTAACCAATGATGGGCATCAGAGTCAGCCACATCTGTAGGAGTGTTCAGTTCTGCATCTTCCTCACAGGTCTGCCATGAGCTCATGGACAACTCTGCCTCATTGTTATAGCCCAGAGCTGTGTCACTGCTAACACTTTCACCTGGCACAATGGAAGAACCAAAGTCTGAAATAACTAATAGACAGGAATCAGAATGTTCACTATTACCCACACACAAATAACTAAACAGCTGACACAGCAGGAATCATGCAGGGCATAGGGGCTCAAAGGTGTCTGTGTGATGTTTTTGCTCAATGAAACAGAGCTTCTAATTGCTGGGCATTAATAGTCATTACAAGTTCCACTATATATCATTCAAGTAGCATTGTTTTAAAGGTGTTTCAACTCAATTATACCATATACCTAAAAGATCACATCAAGTCCTTAAGTTTTCTACTGAAACTTACTCAGCTGGGGGTGGGTGGAAATGGAGGAATTGGTCCATACAAACCCAAGTTTATTCTGCTGGCTAGAAGAGCCTAACAATGCTTTACATCTTGAGCCTGATGTCTAGACCTCAACCCAGGCTGAATCACCCAGGATCACTGGGGGATGAGGTGTTCTACTATAAAACATTTTCTCCAATAGAAAATATTTCCTTTATATACTAAAAAGCTGTAATTTGTCATAATACAATGATGCTCTCAAAGGCTATTTTAAGCCTTATAGGGTTATTTTGTCTAACACAAAACAGATCTAAACAGTTTACTTCTTCAAGTCTCCTGTCTACTTTATAACAATTTTATGTGTCTACCCTTTTTGTCTGCTCACTCTTTCAGCTGCTTTTTGTATTTGCTGCTGACAGTCCCCAGCCTTGCTGGTTTTAATCTGCTATCCTGTTCTCTTGCAAAGAAACGAAAGTTGTCCTAGTCACCAACCTGTTATATCTCTTACTTCATTGTCATGGAACTCTAAGCCAACAGAATTTGGAGGAGGAGCCAAGAGAAGCTCCTCCACACTCCACCAAGAACAACCCTGGATCTAAGTTGTTTATTATGCTGCTCTGAAAATGATGTGGCCCAAAACCTGCCCTTGGGAAAACAGAGTATTAGGGCCACATTTTACAGTACATGATATGTGCTAGAACTCCAATAAAATTTTATTTTTCAAATACTTATAGTGTTGACTTCAATGTACCTCTGAAGCATTTTGCTCCTAGCTGGTGGGAACTTTCTAGGAAACATCACTTTTCCTTCCTGGTCTGTCTGCTCACCTGGTCATTAGCGTTGGTTGTGTTTCTCACCTGGTAAAAGGTCTAGGGGTGGAAAGACAGGCCTCTAAGGTTCAGGTAAATGGCAAACTGTTTTTATTGTATGTGTGAACTAAAAATCCTGAAATTCCAGGAATAAAAATTTCCCATTTCACAACCATGTCTCTTCAGATGCTATCATTTGAGTTAGAAAGTAAAAAGAAAATGAAATACATCAACTCTAAATCTGGATGAATACAGACCACATTTTCTGGAACTTACTCTTCTGTCTTTCCCTACATTTTCCTTGTATCTGCTGCAAATCATCTTTTAAATCCAATTCCGCAGAGCTGCTGCTTCTTCGAACTAAGATCTTTAGACAAAAAGAAATATTGCATTTGTTACAGGAAAATTTTAATTTTTACAAGATTGTTAAATTTCTAACCCACATTTCTAAAGAAAAACACAACAAATGATAATAGCAACAAAAATTTTGAATGCTGTTTTCCATTTGAAGGATGTGTTCACAAATTATTGTAAAAGAATTATAAATTACTGTAATAGAATTATAAATTACTTAAGATCTGAAATTTATGGCTTCTACTTTGTCAACTGACATTCAACTAAATTGATCTACTGAGAAAAAATGCCAAATTATAAGAAAATAATTTATTTTAAAGTTCTATTTGTTCCTCTGCTGAAGCACACACGCATATATATAGTGAATGCAATTCCGCAGAAGGCCTAAGTTACCCACAAATGGTGTGTGTGCTGGCAGGGAAGGCATAAACTCCACTGAGACTTTTCTAAAGGTTACTCAGCACCTTCGTTAAACATGAAACGCTTTTCTGAGCACAGCTCAACACTGGACCTTGTGTTAAATACAGAGCACTAAAACATTTGGAGGCAATCTGCATCCTCTAAAATGTATGACTTTCTTAGAGAGACAAAACGTACACAAATCATACAAAATGATTACAAGGTACATAAGCAAAATATGCAAATAAACTCTCTCTACAAGGTATGCAGAATAGTGTTAACTCAACTGGCTCACAGTTACAGGACAGCTGTTTAAGATGGCAACAGACATGAAGTGGCAGTGAGAAGGCAGAAGGGGATTCAAGGCAGGAAGTGCATAGTGGAATCAGCAAGTTGTATGTGCAGGAAGAGAAGCTGATTATAGCAGGCCATGCAGGGCAGTCAGGTGAAGAGGAAACAGATAAAAAGAAAATGCAGACCACTTTCTAAAAGAGGCAGTTGCCAGTAGGCCTTTAATATCAGGTTTAGGAATTTCAACCAATACTGACAAAATGAGCAACTATATGTTCTAGACAATAGCTTACTGTGATTAAAAACATAACTAGAAAGAAAAGTCTAGTAGTTATCTGTAGGACAGATTAGTGTTAAGAAGAAAATTATTATGGAACTATTATGGTGATTCAGAAATGAGCAGATAAAACTTTTGATGATTAAAAAAAAAAGGTGGGGAGGAAAAATAGATAAGAAAATGCAGAATGGCAGTCAAGAGATTATAATCAGCTGCATATGACAGTGGAATAAAATTAAATCACAAAAGGATATAACTCTAGGGGACCATGAGAACAATGGTGACAAAGGAAGAAAGGAAAAAGAAGGATGATTAACAAAGGAACTTGAGAAAGTTTCTGATATTTGAATTTTCATCTTTGGGATAAATATCCAAAGAGAATATCCTATACCTAGGCAACAAAAATCCAGGATGGTGAGAGAGAGAGTAAAACAAGGAATAAAGATGTAAATTTAAGGTCCTCCAGTGTAGAGTGTATTTAAAAGCCTGGGTTCACTGAACCAAATAAAAGGATGAACATTAAACAAGCAAACTATGAGAAGGCCTAAGATATAATTAAAAGACAGGATAATTATTAAGTCGTAAAACAGATGAAGGCCATGAATGAAATATTTAGAAGACCAACAGTATATAAAAAATAGTATAAAACATTAAAGGAAGATGGTATATATCTAATGTGATAATGGAAATATACCCAGATATTTCCTTAATTGAAAAGCAAAATGCAGGCTTTTCTGCTTCTGACTGAGAAATGAAATTTCCATCAGGTATAGAACCAGATCTCAAAATATGGGTTGCAATTTGAAACTCACAGGAAATAAAATAAACCTCCAAGTGATCCACATCCTCCTTCCCCAAAGCAAATAGAAACCAGGGCAGTGAAATGGGGCTATTTCAAGAATAAATCTAATATTGCCACAGCCAGTGGCAAAAGAACCAAGACTGCAGGATTAAAGCAGCACTCCCTAGTTCCTGGAAGAAACACATGCAAATACTGTCGTGGTGAAACTCCATCACCTCACACACCAGGTTTTCTGTAGATTAAGATAAGCCATATTGGAATTCAATCAACAATCACCAACACCAAAGGAAATAAATCAGATAATAACCAGAATCAAGATAAGAAACACCAAAATAGCCCTGGTCAGGTTGCTTAGTTGGTTAAAACATTGTCCTAAACACCAAAAAGTTGCAGGTTCCATTCCTGGTCAGGTCACGTACTTAGGTTGTAGGTTAGATTCCCCAGTAGGAGACAACCAATCTATGTTATTCTATTACATCAATGTTTCTCTCTCTCTTTCCCTCTCCCCCTTTTTTCCCTCTCTCCCTTCATCTCTCTCTAAAATTAATAAAAACATATCCTCAGGTGAGATTTGAAAAAAATAAAACACCAAAAGAGAGGTGGCATTTCAGATCAATTTAAAAAAACATGTATTCCATAGCCCAGCAGGTGTGGCTCAGTGGTTGAGTGTCGACCCACGCACCAAGAGGTCACCCATTCGATTCCTGGTCAGGGCACATGCCCAGGTTGTGGGCCTGATCTCCAGTGGGGGCATACAAGAGGTGGCAGTGGATGTTCTCTCTCATCGATGTTTCTATCTCTCTCTCCTTCTCCTTTCCTCTCTCTCTAAAATCAATAAATAAAAATAATAAATAAAATAAAATAAATAATGTATTCAATAAATGAGACCTGGGACAAATAGTTATGCACATGCAAGCAGGGGTGGAATTTGGATCCCTACCTCACTTCCTACATAAAATCAATTTCAGACAGAGGAAAGATTCAAATGTGTAGAGAAAAACTGAAACACAAATATAAGGTAATATTTTTATCCATATGGATTGGTATTTTTTAATTTCCATAAAATCTAAATATAAAATTGTTTGATAATCAAGAATACCAAAATTAAGAACTTTGGTTCATCAAAAGTCACCATAGAGAAAATGAAAATATAAGCTGTACCTTAGAAGAAGATGTTTGCCAGAAATAACCAAAATAGGATCAGTATTTAGACTATATAAAGAATTAGTACAAACTAAAGAGAAAAAGACAAGTCAGTAGGAAAATGGTAAGAAAATCATTAGGCATTTCACAGATGACACACACATGGTCAATGAATACATGGAAAGATTTCAAACTTTATTAGTAATCGGAAAAATAAAAAAATAAAACCCCATTTTCACACACTTGAGTCATAAAAATGTTGAATCTGACAAAGCAGGTGTTGACACGAATGTGGATGAATGGCAACTCTTTATAAATTGCTGGCAGAAATATAGATGATGCAACCCACTTTGGAAAACATATTCTCTTGTAAAAAAAAATTCTTCTACTATGACCCACAAATTTTACTCCTAGATAGCCATCATAGAGAAAACCTTAAACATGTAGATCTTGAAACACATACAAGAATGTATATAGCTGCATCTTTCACTTAAAAAAATTGAAATAATCTAATGTCTATTAACAAGAGAATGGAAATAAATGGTGGTATAGTCACAGTAAAATATCATACAGCAGGGAAAATTTAATGAACTATAGCTATGTGTCACAATGTGGATGGATCTTAGAAATACATAACAAAGTGAATAAAACAATATCATTTTAATAATGTTTAAAAATAAGAAAAACTAAGAGTGTGTGTGTATATATATAGAGAGAATATATACAGTGATACCTCGGTTCTCGAACGCCTCGGTTTTCGACCAAATCGGTATTCGACCAGGAGATTCGAGAAACTTTTGTCTCGGAATCCGAACAAATATTTGGAACTCGAACTTCCGAGATGAGCCGAGTTGAGCCGAATGGCGTTCATTCGGCCCAGCGCGCCTTGCTTGCGTCATCAGTGTGAGTGCAGAGAGTGAGTCACGCTTTGTGGAGTCACGCTTTCCTATTGGTTTCATTGCTTCGGTTCTCGAACAATTCGGTTCTCGACCGTCCTCCTGGAACGAATTATGTTCGAGAACCGAGGTATCACTGTATAGAGAGTGTGTGTGTATGTATAAGAGTGTATATGTAGTGTGTGCGTGTGCATGTATAGAGTGACAGTTTGTATATATATACATATATAGTGTGTTGTGTATATAGAGAGAGTATATAGAGTGTGTGTATGTGTGTATATACAGAGAGTATATATATAGAGAGAATGTGTGTATGTGTATATATATATATATATATATAATGTGTGTGTGTGTGTGTGGAGAGAGGGAGAGAGAAGAGCACAAAACTACACAGCAAAGCAAGGGCATGATAAACACAGAGCCAAGAAAATGTTGCTCTCTGAGGGGACAAGGAAGGTATTTATGTGCCAAAGCAGCACCATTGGAATTATTCTAAATTTTAAGCTGAGTGGTTGGTTTGTAGGTGTTTACATGATTACTGAAATATACATATGTGATACACATATACATACAGACTATAGATATATAGGTTGTTATATGCCCTTTTTAAAAATAAAGACAAAAGAAACTTTACACTGGTTTATCTTCTAGGAAAGCAAGAGGCTTTCTCTTTTCATTTTGTACTCTTCTCTGATGGTTTTATATACCACATTTTTAAAAAGTGAATAAACAGGAGTTATCTGCATAAATGAGTAATGGGTTACTTAAAAATTTTCTTCTTTATACTTTATATTTGTTTTTTACATGATATTTTACATAGTAAAAAAAGAAAAAGAAAAAAAGAAACCATACAGTTTTTTGCAAAAACTGACTTATCTAGCAACTTATGTCAGGTGGAGGTACTACCTAAAATGATGTCAGAAACAAGAAATTTAAATATATGTTCAAAAGGCAAGGATACCTGATTTAAAATACAGTGACAATTAAACACCAGCTGGTGAATTTCACTTTGTGTTAATTTTTTTATTTTTGTGATATGACTATAACCTTCTACAGAAAGCAAGTAAGACTTTAAAAGACTTCAAAGTTGTATCGCTTATGACCCATCTAAATAGACAAAAACTTTTTAAAAGAAAACTATGACTGCCATTAACAAATTTATTTATTGTGCCAGTAATTCATACATTTATTTTTAATGATAAATTTGGTTTGAAAATATCTTACTGTTATTCCTTCATATTCTTTCTTCTCTTGAACAGGCTTAGGTTCTGAAGAACTCACATTCTGTACATTTTCTACCTTTTGACCTAGAGGTTTTGTGGGAAAAAAATCAACACAAAGAATATTTCAGATAGTAAAACTGAAAAAAATATGTATATATAAAGGTAATTATTAAATTTAGATATTCTTAGATACATAAAATAGGAGTCATAAGTCTGGCAAACTGGTATTCTATGGCCAAGTCCACACTATAAACCTGGTCTCTTTGGCTCACAGAGAGCTTTTAAGAGAAAGGAATGAATGCTACCCACTGTGGCCAATAGGTCCACTTAACACATCATGTTAGCACAGGAAAAGGTTAAGACGACCTGTCCTGGGTGCCTTGGGAAAGAGATCTCAGAGAAAAGCTGCCTGAGTTAGCTATGTGAGCTGACAGGAAGAAGAAACCAGTAAAGTGGTTCAGTATTTCTTGAGAATAAAGACTGATAAGAGAAAAAACAAGTATCCAAAATTAGTAATTAAAAAGGGACTATCACCACAAAGCCTGCAAACATTACAGAGATTATAAGAGCACTTCGTGAATAGTCTGAAACCAATAAAAAATAAGAGTTGAACAAATTCCTAGAAAAACAAAATTATCAAAATCAAAACAGGAAAGAAAAATATTAATAGTCTTAAAAAGATTTTAAAATGTTAATGGTATTTTAAAACCTTCCCACAGAATAATCCAGGCAATTGGTAGGTTCTACCAAATACACAAGGGGAAAAAAATCACAACAATCTTACACAAAACCTTTCCAAGAATAGAAAATCTTTAGATAATATATTTCTCAAATTATTTTTTACTGTATTTTCTTATTTCAAGAGGATTTCTAAGAGTCAATACTTCTCTAGTCATCTGATGAGGTTTTGCATGACCTTGACATTAAGAACCATGAGGTAACTTGTAGACAAATGAGGTTGTTTACTTTTTAATATAACTCATGAAACTAAACTAAATGATAAACATGTTCACTGATACCAGACACAATTTACACATGCTCTTTCACTGTAAAATACATACATTATTTACTGTTTACAGGTCTAACCATCTGCCTCTTTGCTTTCCACCCCATATTGTTACTGAAAGTTGTTGGAGAAACTGTGTAAATTAATGCTGTTACGAGTTATTATTTTCAACCTCATTATTATAAGCTGCTACCAAGATTTTTTACATGTCTGGGCAGCTTTCCATTCTGCCAACTTTTGTGGCCTTCTTCAGGCCTTTTCCCACACCCACCTAATCCTGTCCTGCTTTCTACCTAACTTGCTGCTCTCCCTGACTTTGTAGTGTAGCATTCTCTGCTTCATATATATTCCGGTCACTCTGGGCATCTTTCAAGTTCTCAAAAATGCCACACTAAAAAAAACTGGACATATATATGTAATTTAGATAAATATATTAAAATAGTGAAAATATTTTAATGCTAGAAATCATATACTTGCAATCTAAACATAAAAAGTAAATTCTCTTGAAATATTTAATTAGAACAAATGTAGAAAGCAGTATCACATACAGCTTCTTCCAAGCCAGAGTCTACAATTCTGCATTAATAACTGAAGCACCTCCGTACCCTGAGCAGACTCTGAGCACAGCGGCTCAGTGACATCAGGTGTGCTGCTGCTTCGAATGTACTGTTGCTGCTGCCCTACCACCAGGTGGCCAGATTCGACTGCAGGTGCATTTTCTGACTGCTGACATTCTTCCATTTCTGTGGGAATGAACACAAAACATGTAGAAATGCATTTCAAGATTAAAAAAATAATAATTTCACCGATTAAAACAACTGATTCTAAAACTGTAGTTTTAGATATACCTTTTCTCCACAAAAATTGTACAGTAAGATAATCTGCATTTACATCATAAAGTTTCCTACACTTGTTAACACTAATATTCTACTCCAAGAATAGATTTTCCTTTAAAGTACTACATGGTATTTTATTTTTTTAATCTACATGAAGGGGGGGAAAAAAGAGGAAAAGCCAGAGAAATGATTTGACACCTGTAAAAGTTATTTGTAATTCAGGGATGGGCATGACCAGGAAAGAGATCCAGGAGTTACATGGAATGGGTTTACATTTGAGGGGTGTAGAAATCAGTGGGCATGCACATATACACACATCCTAATGAAAGATAAAAGGAAACATGGGGATTTCAACACTACCATTCCTTTTAATGGATAAATGTAAAACTGTCCAAAATAAAATATGATAATTACTGAATGGCTTATGTCACCAAATGTAATGTTTAATTAATCTACAAAGTACAAAAATGATCTGCTGGTCTTTTTAGAGAATCAATACACATATGACATAAAATAAAAAACCACAGGGGAGTACTGTGTGATAATCTCAACTAGCATTATTACAAACTACATTGCCCTGGAGAATGAGTGCCCTCCTAACTCATTTCTAAACTTTACAGCTCATTTTAATCTCCAAAAACAACCCAAGGCACTGGGAGATCACACCATCTTCTCTCTCTAGAACTACTTCTTTGGCATGGCATCATCTTTAGCCTATGTTATTATAATAATCTCTTAGCTGGTCATTGTCTCCCTTTACCTGCCACCCTTATATCTATCTTCTATGTGGCCTTTAAAACAAAGATCTGACTGCGCCATTCCTCTCCTGAGGCCCTCCATCATTGTTCAGTCAAGCCTGTGATCCTCACAGTGAGTATAGGACTGTCCTAGATCTCACCCCACAGACTTGACCCTGCACAAGGAGTTTGAACACTCACTTAGTCTCCAGCAACCCCCTAGCCTACCTGGCACCTGCTCATCTCTCCCTCCCACCGCTTACTCCTCTATGTTAATTTCACACCCATTCCTTCCTCCCTCCCTCCCTCACATATCGCCTGGGCACCCCTCCTACAGGACTCACTAAGTAGTCCTGCACGTGAACCTCACCATTACATCCCTCACCAGACTCCACGCTTACTCACGCAGTCATGAAACTTTACATCAATATAACTATAACATATTTTACAAAAGTTTCATTAGCTAATGTTTTACTTCTTCTAAGAAGCAACTGATCAAAATTCAGCCTGTATTATCTTATGTGAAATAAGACTTACTGTCAATGTGCCAGCCTCTATAACCCTTTAATCTGAGCCACAAATCAAAGTTCTGGTTCACTCCAACCAAGAATTTGTATGTAGAAGATTCTAAATGTGAAAGACAGGATTTCAACAAAAGATTGCTACTTTATTTATACTATCCAAATAAAAATTCATTTAAAGTACACTGATACAAGTTACAAGAACTCAAAACTATGAAATTTGTTTGATCTTTTACTCATATTTCAGAGTACTGGGCCACAGTCTGAAAGTTTAGACACTGAAAGGAAGCCAAACTGAGGGTATATGCAAAGGAAAGCCAAGGTACAAGAGCAGACTCATTAAAGTCTTGTCTTTCTAGGATATCTTACTCCTCTCTTGAACAGCCAAAAATTGTTAATTTCCCACAGAGACACACAAGACCTATGTATATATCTGTGTTCTACCCACACTTTTCACAGGTCTATTTTTCAGGCTCTTCAGCATCAGGCAGCAGAAACCAAATAGTACCATACGACCAGCGCCTTCTGGCTCTCTTCTTGCACTGTTTATTCTAATTATGCAAGACTCTGAAACCTTCTAAGAAGAGTTTATATTTGTTAATGAATCTACTTATTAATCCAATATCAGTACAGGGACCCCCACCCCCACCCCCCAAGAGCTTCGAAATTCTCTAAAAAACAATTAGCAAGTGCCAGTTTTTATGGATAGCAGGAAGAGTGGGTTTTATTCACTTAAATTTGATGCCAAAAACAGGTTGCTTTTGGTTTCTGGACTATGAGCAGACAAGTAAGGGCTGGGCGAACACTGGCAGCATCTTTTAAAAGATAAAGAACATCACCATCTGGTGGGATACAATACAGCCGCAGCACCAAGGCTTCCAAATTTAAGTGTCCCCACTGGTCCACAACACAACAGATGGATGAAGAGCTTGACATTACAAGCTGGTCTGCTTTCCCAACGTCTGGCCTGATGCAATTTTAAGGATTTATTTTTGTAAAACTGTCGGTAGGGGGCTTCTCCGGTGGAGAAAGTCCAAGCCTGTAGAAATCGCCAGAAGTGGTGAGAGTGGGAGCATCTATGCTGAGGATGGGAAGGAAGGGTAGAATACCAATGTCAAATGTGCTGTGAGGGCTGTTGTGCTACTGGTACCTTAAGCCATTCCTGCAGTTGACAGTTAAGTGATACAGTGTGAAAAAAAATAATTTGATATTCTACCTATCCCAATTTCCTGATTTGTAAGTATGTATTTCTTGGCGTTTTCTCACACTTTGTACTAAGTATATACTTATTATATGTTTTGTATAAATGGATAAACAAACACTAAAAACATTTTCTTGGTGCATTTCCTTTAAAAAACACAGTTCTTGAGCTCCCTCTGCTGGCCTTTTATTTGTTGAGAAAGAGCAACTAAAGCTGTTCAAGCTGCTCCTATTTTACAGTATCAGTTGTAGCAATTACCCTTTCATAATATATTTAAAACCACTTTAACACTGATATGCAAATATCAAGATAAAAGATAATCCTATATTCAAAATAGAAAAAAATGTACAGTATATAAAAATTTCATTATAAATTTTGGGAGTTCTAATGCATTATGTGTTTTGAATATAACAATATCTGTTTAAATCACTTCAAAGAGCTAAATTCTTTCTCAGATACATCACATCATCACTTCCAATAACCCAAATTTTAAATACCTTCTAGCTTCTTAACAGTATAAGTTATGCAATACCATTATTATACCACTGCTTTCCATTCAAAACACCAGAAAACTAATCAAATAAGGATCATTTTTCCAATTGAGAGAAGAATCAGTATGATTAAAGTAAGTGTGTAAACTCTTCAGAAACTTCTATTTATTCCAGACATCTGACCACTTTTCAAAGAATGAGACTCGTTTTTCTACAACCAAAATTCTAGATTCCACTAACCTCTCATACAAGGTTGCATAAGCAAAATTAATATTATTTCCTATCTTTAAAGCACTGTGCACAACACCAACCTGCCCCTGTAAAAACACAAGAGAATTAAACCAATTCAGCACCTTAATGTTTCCCCAAGGTCCAAAGGTGAATCAGCCTGGACCCTAACAACAAGCATTTCCTGACAATCAAGGAGTGCTACCTGGAAGCCTGAGACCCAGGTGCAGAAGCAGCTAAGTGAGGCTTTCAGTCAGGTCCCTCTACGTCTCTTTTAGAATGAGGGAAGATCACAGATTCTCTAATTGCTACTATTACAATATTCCTAGAAGAAAAATAAAATCAACCATGTGCATGGCCTGTAAGCATTACAGTTTTCAACTGATGTGCTGCAAGACACACACTGATGAGCTGCAAGAATTTTTAGAACATGCAATACCTGACTATTTCAGTCAGGGCACTGACCTCTTTTCCCTTAGACTGTCCAGTAAAAAAAAAAAAAAAAAAAAAATGACAACAGCCAGCACAATAGCCGTTGGTGTGAATGAATCAAAATTATACCTATTTTTTTTTGGCAGGCAAAAAAATCTATTTTTTGGTGTGCTGCAGAATTTTAGTAATTATCTTGTGTGCCATGAAATGAAAAAAAAAAACTGAAAATCACTGCTACACATTGATAAATGTCTCACCATAAAAACAGCTAAAATTGCAAAACGAGAAAGAACTGGTCCCACAGAGGAGAAAAAGAGAAATCACAGAAACTGCCAATTCTACCACCCATGTTTGTTTATGTAGCAATTCATGTTAATGGACTACAGGTGGTTTCGACTTCCCCAAAATTCTGCTGAAGCCAAATAATCATAAGAAGATCAGAATGAGAAATCATAGTGGCTGAAGGTAAGGAAGTTTCTATTATTCATATTATTAACACAATTGGTGGGTTGAATAGTCATATGGATTAGAAACAAAAACAAGAAATGTTAATTTAAACAAAAGTTTTTTCCAATCATTTTTGTAGTAAAAACACTTGGGGCCAGGTAGTCAATGTTAGATGACAGGTCTGCATATTATGTATAGGTAAATATACATCTATCTAGATATTTAGCAACATGTTAGCAAGGTATGCCAATACACTAGGATCTAAACTGGAGCACAAACTTAACACTCTAATGTGCCAACCAGTGGAGAAAATACAATCTAAGACTGAGGACTGATATTCATTGCTCTTGGCCCAGTCTCTTGACAGAACAGCTACAAAAGACAATGACAATGGCTGTGTAATTACCAGGGAACTGTGGCAGTTGGATTTCCTAAAATGCTGGATTACCGCCCTAGTTGGTTTTGCTCAGTGGTTAGAGTGTCAACCTGCAAACCAGAGAGTCCTGGGTTCGGTTCTGGCTAAGGGCATGTACCTCGGTTGCAGTTTGTCCCCACTCCAGTTGGGGTCATGTAGGTGGCAGCCACTTCATGTGTCTCTCACACCTTGGTGTTTCTCTCTTTTCCCCCCTCTCTCCCTCCCACTCTATCTGAAATGCAAAAATGTCCTCGAATTAGGATTAAAAAAAAAAATGCTGGATTACCTTGGTGTGGATCAGTGGAAAATTGTAGAGGATAAGGAGGATGACAAGCCTATCCAAGCTCTGCATGAGGTGATATTGCCTTGCTGAAAACTTATGGTTAGAGCACTTACTCTAGGCAGATCAAGCAGGTTGAAGACAACATTCAATAACATCTCACTGGTATTAAAGAGTCTAGCACTGGCCTGGCCTCACCAGCACTCCGGGATTTGGCTGCAGGTAAGCACACACCAGAGTGAACAGCCTTTGCAGGTTTGCAAGATGTTCAGTGCTGACCTGGGGGACCCGAAGTACATTATCAACATGAAGCAGTCTGCCAAGTTTGCGGTGGACCTCAGTGGTCAGGTAGCACCCACTGACATTGAAGAAAGGAATGAGAGTTGGTGTAGACAGAAATAAGTTTCTAATTCACATTCCACTGCCTCCTAAGGCTGACTCGACAGTTACCATGATACAGGTAGAGGAAAACCTGATATTACATACAGTGATGTGGGCATCTGTAAGCAACAGATTGAGAAACTTTAAGAAGTAGCTGAAACCCTTCTACTTCATCCAGAGAGGTTTGTAACCTTGGCATGGAGCCTTCCAAGCCTGTGCTGACCTTTGGTCCACTGGGTACAGGCAAAACTCTCTGGGCCCAGGCAGTTGCTAATAGAACTGATGGTTGCTTCATTCAAGTTACTGGACCTGAACCTGTATAGAAATACGTTGGTGAGGGGGTCAAATGGTTCAAGAGCTCTATGAAATGGCCAGAACAACAACAAACACCCTGCCTCATCTTCTTTGATGAAACTGATGCTCTTGGAGGGGTTTGTTTTGATGATGGTGCTGGAGGTGACAATGAAGTAGAGAGAATGGTGTTGGAATTGATCAATCAGCTGGATGGTCTTGATCCTTGAGGCAACATTATAAAGTGCTGATAGCCACTAACAGACCTAACACTTTGGATCCAGCACCGAAGAGGCCAGAGAGATTGGACAGACAGATTGAATTTAGCCTACCTGATCATTTTTAAGATTCATGTACATTCAATGAGTATTGAAAGAGATATCACATTTGAATTGTTAGCATCACTGTGTCCAAATAGTGCTGGTGCTGAGAACAGGAATGTCTGCACAGAAGCTGGCATGTTTGCCATCAGAGCATGGTGAAAAATAGCTACTGACAAAAATTTCTTAGAAGCTGTAAAAAAGGTCACTAAGTCCTATGCCAAATTCAGTGCTACTCCCAAATATATGACACACGACTGAGCCCTGAAGGCTTTCATGAAAACACTTCTTTTCACTTAAACTTATATAGACTTGTTAATAACCACTTCACACAAAAAATAAATGGGTTTAAAATTGTAAAAAAAAACAACAACAAAAAACACAAGACAATGGCATCACTTTAATAGTAAAGAACAAATGGCATTAGACTAAGGAGGAGTTCACTATTGTAGTCAGATGAAACAGGAAGAACACTATACTGCAGTCTCTTTACCCTTTGTGTCATAAAACCAGGAATAAGAATGCCAAAGGCAGACAAAAACAAAGACCCACCACGGCCTGCTTCATTTCAAATCAGGTCTCTCAACCTGAGCACTATTGATATTTTGGGTTAGAGATTTCTTTGTGGTGGGGGCTGTCCAGTGCATGACAGAATGTTTAGCAGCATCCCTGGCTTCCACCCACTGGATGTCAGTGGCACTGCTTCAGTTGTGACAATCAAAAATGTCTCTAGAACAATGGTTCTCAACCTTCCTAATGCTGCGACCCTTTAATACAGTTCCTCATTTTGTGGTGACCCCCAACCATAAAATTATTTTTGTTGCTACTTCATAACTGTAATTTTGCTACTTTTATGTCTTAGGCGACCCTCGTGAAAAGGTTGTTCAACCCCCAAAGGGGTCACGACCCACAGGTTGAGAACCGTTGCTCTAGACATTGCCAAATGTTCCCTAGAGGACAAAATTATCCCAGTTGAGAATCACTACTCTAAATCAGATTCAATTTCTGTTGGAACAGTGTATGTATATAAGGAAATCAGAATCTGAGTAAACTAAAATATAATATTGAATGAGAAAAATGTCTCCAAAATGAGATTTCTAAGAGGAAGAGATTTCTTCGGAGAACATATTCTGGACAAACTAGTAAAAACTTAAATGAATTATTTGTTGGGGGGGGGGGAGGAACGGGGGTGGACTTTGTAAAAAGAAAACTTTAAAACATGAAAAAAATTCCTTTTGGGTGTTTATCAGCCAAACAGAAAGCAAAACTATTTTAAAAATTTAGTAATCATCTCTAAGTAGTAGTATTTTTTCAAAAACCAAATTATCAAGCAGTTACTGTACATCAATAATTTAATTTACTGGTGCCCATCTTCTGTACCAATCTTAATGTAGACACCTCTGGTATCTACTAGAGAAAAATACTTTTCTAAGAACCATAATACTTATTCTCAATAAAACTATCTTCTGCTCTCATATTCTATAAATTAAATAATACTATCTTTACATAACTCATCAGGGGAATTAAGCTTTAATTTTGCTTTGCTGAGCCACAGTATGACATAACTTAGTACCACAGAAAGCCACAATTGGGCCCTGGCTGACTTTGCTCAGTGGTATGAGCATCTGCCCATTGACCAGAGAGTCCCGGGTTCGGTTTCTGCCAAGGGCACATACCTTAGTTGCAATTTGTCCCTGGCCCCGGTTGGGTTGTGTGGGTGGCAACCAGTCAATGTGTCTCTCTTACACTGATGTTTCTCTCTCTCTCTTCCTCCCTCTCTCCCTCCGGCTCTATCTGAAGATAAATGCAAAAATGTCCTCAGGTGAGGATAAAAAATAAAATAAAATAAAAAGAAAGCCACAATTAGGCTATTACCAGTAGTAAATAAATACTAATGTATAATGCCATCCTTCTGAAAATAAAAAAGAACATGAAGCCCTGGCTGATTTGGCTCAGCAGTGAGAGCGTCGGCCCAGGGACCAAAGAGTTGCAGGTTTGAGTCTGGTCAAGTACCTGGGTTGTAGGTTCGATCCCCAGCCCCTGTTGGGGTCATGTAGGAGACAACCAATCAATATGTCTCTCTCACACAGATGTTTGTTTCTCTCTCTCCCGCCCTTCTCTCTCTAAGAATCAAAAGAAAAATATCCTCGGGTAAAGATTAACAACAACAAAAAAGAACATGAAAATATTTCCTTCTTTAGTAAGAAGACTCAGTTCAACTTAGAATCACTGAAAAAACAAGTAGATGTAGACTATAAAGCACAGTAAATCCTTTTGTTGGAGTATCTATGCCCCAAATCACTTTTGGTGCTGTCTTTTTTGTTTTTTCTTTATTGATTTTAGAGAGAGAAGAAGGGAGAGGAAGAGAGAGATAAAAATATCGATGAGAGATGAGAGAGAACATCAATTGGGTGCCTCCTGCATGCCCACACTGGGGATTTGAACCACAACCTGGGCACGTGCCCTGACTGGGAATCGAAACAGCGACCTCTTGGTGCATGGGTCAACACTCAACTACTGAGCAACACTGGCCGGGCTAACATGTCTTAATAAACCAGAAAACTCAGAGTGTGTAAAACACATGTAGCTAAACTCTATTTTAATTGGCTAAAGCCCAGAAACAATTTGAAAAATTAGCATTTTTTAGCAGTGTTTTTTATTCAAACCAGTATGAATCTGCAAAATTCACTTTATACGTGATAATGATTTATTAATTCCAAGAAGTCTTGTCTGTATACTTTTTCCAGTTTACTCATGTTGGGGAAGGCACAGCACACTTTCTAACATTGAAATGCTCAAATCTTTGGTAAAATTTTATGAAAAATCCCCTTCCATTTTCTAGGCACTGTATAGAAGATACACTGAGGGAGGCATCACTATTCCCCTCTATCAAAAATTATGGGCCAAAAAAATCCTCTTATCCTTCTTAACTGGGAATGCAAACACCACTGGTGCTACAGAAATTTTTCTTGACTATTAGTTGTTATTCAACATCTAACTACATAAAAATAATTATTAATATTCACTGCAAATAAACACAAAGTGCAATGCCCAGCACACATGCATGATGTGGGGATATTAACAAAGGAAGCAAGGCCCCGGAGGCAAGCTAAAGAAGCTCAGGAGCACAGACAGACACATGAGAAAGCATTACAGTACCTGAGAGCCTGTGAGAGCAAGAGGAATAAGAGAGACCAGGTAAGAGAGCGCTCACGGTGTGAAGGAGGAGTGGAACGCTTTTAGTGGCAGGCAAAGCTTCAGAAAGTTGTACACAGTTGCTGATAGACTGGCTTCTCTTAGCTTTCAGGAAAGATAAAGTAATAATTATGTCAGAAGAACATCAGGATCTCTCATTTCTTTTTTATTATCATTTTTCTGGGCTCTTTAAATACAGGGTGGGGCAAAAGTACGTTTCAGTTGTGAATATGCGAAACAGAGTTTATTCTTCTAGTATAATTAATTTTTGTGTTATTTTCCATAGGGAACAACTAGAGACCTACCTTTGCCCCACTCTGTATTTAAAGGAGGTCATTTTAAACTTGAAAAACTTTCAGTACGAAGCACTTTCAGTCATTCAGATGACATGGGAGAATGGACAATTCACAAATAATCTTATTTTAGAATGCTTCATATGTTTAGTCTTTCATTGTTTTCTGCTATGTATCAAAGATTCACATTTGGCTTATTTCGGCAGACATTATAATCAGTTTTCCCTTCCTAAAGAACATAATCCAAAAAACCACAGTGAGGTAGGGAAAATCTAGCCTAAGATTAAAAGTGTTCTATAAATAATACATAGTTCAAAAATTGGTTTACTGAGAGCTGACTGTATTGGTTTACTGAGAGCAAATCATTAAGAACACATAAAAGTCAAGTTGAAAATTAAAAGATTTGATAAATGGAAAAATCTCCATAAAACCCATCCTTTTACAATACATTTCATACTTCTTAAATCCATAATTTCCTATTATGAACTTTATGGTGTTCTTACGTTTTCTATATACAGTGATACCTCGGTTCTCGAACATAATTCGTTCCAGGAGGACGGTCGAGAACCAAATTGTTCGAGAACCAAAGCAATGAAACCAATAGGAAATAATGGAAACTGGATTAATTCGTTCCAAGCCCCAGAAAATGCCTATTTACTGGCCTAATTTGTATATAATATGTAGAAAAACATAAGTCTCAACAAGAAATAAAAGTGTACAGTATGTCTAAGGGTTAAATTCAGTGTAAAGCGTGACTCTCTCCACAAAGCGTGACTCTCTCTCTGCGCTCACACTGATGACGCAAGCAAGGCGCGCTGGGCCGAATGAACGCCATTCGGCTCAACTCGGCTCATCTCGGAAGTTCGAGTTCCAAATATTTGTTCGGATTCCAAGACAAAAGTTTCTCGAATCTCCTGGTCGAATACCGATTTGGTCGAAATCCGAGGCGTTCGAGAACCGAGGTATCACTGCATTGCTATTCAAATGACCATTTGAGAAAACAGATGGACCCAGGAAGAGAATATGCCTTATATATATGAAATCATCATCAGTAAAGTCAGCTTATCCTTAAAACAAAAATGTAAAGATTTACCTGCTGTTTTGTTATCTTTATGTGATTTTAACATTAATGAAACAGAACAAACATATTTGCAAAAGAGTGAAACAAACTTTTTACTTTGCTGTATTTTTCCCCATCCCTTGCCTATCAGAGTTCCCAATTCTAAAGGGCTATCTGCAATGCAATTACAGTGTAATTCACAAATGTATAAAGTAATATTTAAGTGAAAATGTCTTTCATGTAAACATTAAACTGACTGACTTGAAATTTCCTAAAAGATTCGTTCGTCTCTCAGTGTCAGAGACAAATTTATTTGAGTGTTGTTGTTTAACTCTTATAACTCAAATGATTGGGCATTTTTCCAAAACTGAGCACTAGATATTTCAGAAATAATAAAATATAGAATAATTATTTTGTGTGGAAATTGACTTGCTTTAATCACTCATTTTACACATCTAAAATTTTAGCATTATTCACATTCAGTAACAAAGTTTTACTTTATAATTCTTTTTTTACTTTAGAATTCTTTAAGACTCTCTCTTGCTAGTCCTTTTAACTTGCAAACTAGTGCAATCTATGTTAAACTGCCATTTCCCTGCCCTGCAATTCCTCATTTTTATATTTCCCTTTTGCCACCATCCTGACATTTTCTCAAACTAAGAGTAGTTTGTGGGGGCCCTGGCCAGTGTGGTTCAGTGAACAGAGCATATCAGCCTGCGCACAGAAGGATCTCTGGTTCGATTCCTGGTCAAGAGCACATATCTAGGTTGCAGGTTTGTGCAGGAGGCAATCAATCAGTGTTTCTCTCTCTCACATCGATGTTTCTCTCCTCTCCTCCCCTCCCCTCTCCTCCCTTCTTTCCCCTCCTCTCTCTCTCTCTGCCCACCCTCTTCCACTCTATCTAAAAATCAATGGAAAAATATGCTTGGGTAAGGATTAACAAAATAATAAAAATAAAATCCTAGACTGGATCCTGGCCAGTGTTGCTAAGTGGTTAGAGTGCTGGCCTGTGCACAGACGGGTTGAGGGTTGGATTCCAGGTCAAGGGAACATACCTGGGTTGCAGTTTTGATCCCCAGCACCAGTAAGGGAGCAATAGGGAGGCAACCAATAGATGTCTCTCTGTCACATAGATGTTTCTCTACCCCTCCCCCCATCCTTTTCACTCTCTCTACAAATCAATGGAAAAAATATCCTCAGGTGAGGAGTAATAAACAAATAAAATAAAACAAAACAAAAGGTGGCCTCTATGCAAATCAAAATCTACCATAAAAATATTCTGGGCCTTTTTAAAACACAAAAAGGTGAATTATTACATAATGTAAAAATAATAGAATTGAGCTAAACCACTAAAATTTAGACTATATAGATAAATTTTATAAAACAGCATGATATAAAATCTTCAAACAACACTGCTTTCATAGGCAACAAAAAAAATTTACAATTTTATAATTCATAATTTTAATTCATAATTTTTAAAAGTGTAACATAAAATAGGAAATTCATATGTGAAATACATAAAGATTATAGCTATGTCCAACTCAATAGCTCTCATCTTCATTATCTTTTACAGGTTATGGTTTCAAGTGTTTTTAATTTAATTAACCCCACAATGGTCAGGCTTATGGTTTTCAAATGACATACTCTGCAAATACCTTTATATGCTTTTGTAAAAGTTCTTACTGTAGCAATACCGTGGCTTTTAAGACACCTGTGGACACTCATAAACAGATCCTCACTGGCATAAATGTGCTGAGGATTTTCTTAGACGTACCGTTGCCTCTACCATATTGTTGGTGTGAAATATCTATTGAAAAACTAAAAAAATGCAGTCTTTTCTGTGGCTGTGTTTTGGCCAAGTAGTGACATATGAAACATGCACTGTCCAATAATTTGCTGCTCATAAAAGTGTGAGAATAAAGTTTTAAGAAGTGTTTTGAATGATCACTTTTATTATTATAGTAATTTAAGGGATGTGAGGGACAGCAGGAAGTCTGTGCAGCTCAGGCATGATACCACCTTTGTCCTAAACTTCTACGCTGATCCTTTTCTTTTAAAGATCTAGTGATAAAAGAAAGGAGTTGTAGGAGGTGGGGTGAGAAAAGAAATCAGTGAATAAGCATCCCCAAAGTTGCCTATTACCAGAAATAGGGACTCTCCTCAGAGGAGAGGATGAAGGAAAACAAAAAGGAGTTGAATAAGAGGTGAATATAAAGAAGGCGATAATTACCAACAACTTCTATAGCAAAAAGTATGAGACAGTTAGGGTTAAGGTATATTTTCATGAAACTCCAAAAGGATTCTAAGTCACCTGTATTAAACCTTTATTTACTAATCACTGTAACATATGTTGAGTGTAAATAAATCTTTGATTTATGACTAGAGGATATTGTAACTTTCTGCAGTCAACATGAATTGTAATTATATGGTATTACTGGTGTGAAAAACTATAGGAAACTCAGATAAATTTGTTTTAAACTTAAGGCCTCAAAATCACTGGGGGAGGGGCTTATTTCTTCTTATTAAAAGCTAGATATAAGCTTACTTTTTCAAGATTTCTCTCTTTTTTTTTTTTAAGAGTAAAGTATAGCAAAGCAATCTGGATTAATTGGGGTTCTTGGTCAAGTTCTCATAAATTCTAACTGGCTCTTAAGGAAAACATCTATAGGCATGTAAAACTCAATTTTCCAAAGATATAAAAACTTTAAATGTCTCCATCTAATCCTGAAAACTAAGTACATTATTCTCCTTTTCATTGCCAGAACAAGGTGCCACACTCTGTCAAGATTCATACTGTTCAACAACAATAATGCAACTAGTTGTGACTACTATTTCCACAAAGTTCAAATAAAACATCTATTTTATCTCTTTTGCACAAATATCTCATCAAAATTAATATCTCACTCAATATTAAATAATGAAGGATTTTGAAATATGACAAATTGTGTTTTGAAAGGAACCAGAACAGAAAGTTTAAAAGATACAGAGAAATCTCATTTAATAAAAGGTCTAGCTTTTAACTTTTGATTAGAATTTTAAAACTTTTACATTTTATTCCTATAAATCCATTTTAGATAGCAACTATACCTTTGGAAAATACTTAAATAAATGTTTACCAGTTGCTTTTTGACGAACAATAGTTCTTGCTTTCTCAACTCCTGGTGCCCCTGACGTGGTAGCACTCCTAAATCGCATTGGCTCGGTCACATCTGGGTGGCTCCGCCAGCTGAGAGAAAAGGATCTCCCCACAGTGGTTCCTTTCTGAAAATCTAGAATGCAGCCTGATAAAGGATAAGACAAGAAAAAGAATCTAAAGGCTGAGTTTATTATTATTCATTTCATAGCCTATGTTGCTCAGCAATTTCATCCCTACAATTATATATAATCAGCAGTTTCTCTTGTTGCAAGTTAGGTACCACTTCCTTATACTATAATTTAGGAAGTTAGTCTGTATCAGTAATCTAAAAATCCTTATTGCCAAAGTATTTTTCAAGCATCTCCAACAGTCTCATGAAAATTATCATACCTTCACAGTATTCATTCCAATATACAAAAAAATAAAAATAAAAAAAATCAATAAACCATTCTCAGTATAAGAATAGTGTTAAATGAAGTTATACCACTGCTCCAAAAACTACTTTCATAAACCAAAAAATCAGAGATCTTAATTTTAGAATAATACTCTACCCTGTAGGCACCCACCTCTCCATATCCCCAAGAGAAATTTATGTCTATATTTTCAAATTACACACAATAAAATGAGCAAGGAAAATAAAAATCTACATATAATACAAAATCCAATTTTAGTGAAGCTCCAAAACAATAAAATACTACAACTCTGTGATTCAAATTCTCTTTTTTTCCTTTCATATCGCTCTGAATATTTCAAATGAGTGGTCAAGAATCCAAAAAAAAAAAAAATACAGGATAAAAGAGAATGAGACACTAAGAGATTTCTGCATAGGTATAATGTAGCCGGGGAATGCCACTTTGGCTTGTTTCTACACTCAGGTTGCTCTGGGAGTTTTTTATTTCCACCAGTCCAGTGCTTAGAAGGCTAGTATTTCTATAATGAATATTTAAATCTGTTTTTAGAATAAAGCAATATAATAAATAAATCAGAAAAATGTTCCATGGTCATTAAATAAAATTTCTTCTGTATCATTCCAAAAATAGTATGTTTGAAATTGTTTACCTTCCTAAGACAAGCCTATCTTTTCCCATGACTCTATGTGTTCACACAGTGGGAGGAAAAGAATATTGTGGGTGCTGAAGGGGAGGGTAGACTACGAGAAATACGGGAGGCATTTTCTTTAGTTTGAGAAAATCTTTACCTCCTATCTCAGCAACTCTCCTCCATCCTGAAAGGCACCCCTAGTCGGGTAAACTCTTTTCTGGGCTGAGAACTAAAGTCTTAGAGAGTCAAGTTCCTGGCTAGAAGCATCCTAATCCTCTTAGGTTTGGTTTACATAGAGGCCCTCAAAGCTCCTACAGAGCACAAGGTAGAGGCCAAGGACACAGGTTCCCGACTCACTGACCCTACTTCAATCCCAAATCTCTAGTTTAATATATTTTTTAATAAGGACTCTCTGTATAGCTTCAAACGGGGATAAAAAGGGATATGCTGCTAAAATAGTATGTTAGAAAATCATTAGACAGTCTAAATGTAAACTAAAATTGTGCCACTGAAATACCATGTGCTTAAACTACTTTATTTTCGTTTCTTACTAACTTGCTTTTACTAACTGATGCTTTGGCAAGCCACTCACAGACTGCAATGAAAATATTATAAGAATCGGCCATGTTAAATTACTCCCTATGGTTAATTAATGTAATTCATTCACACCTCCTACTATGCACATTATCTTTTGTCCTCTCCTACATTGATTATGGGCTTTATCATGTGACTTACATTGGTAGCAAAAGTGAGCAAGCAGATATTGAAATGCACCCATTGCCCAGTCACCCCCATTGCCTCAGCTGACAGCTGGCCAACCCCTAGAAGTAGAGCTACTAAGCTGACAACTTCACGGTCTAGTTCAGTGATTTTCAACCAGTACACCACAAGAATTTTTAAAACAGGCAATACCTGACTATTTAGTTAGGTGCACTAACCTCTTTTCTTTTAGATTGTGAAATAAAAAATGACAACAGCCCTGGCTGGTATGGCTCAGCAGTTAGAGCGTTGGCCTGTGGACCAAAGGGTCATGGGTTTGATTCTGGTCAAGGGCACGTACCTCAGTTGCAGTTCAATCCCCAACTTTGGTTGGGGTCCTGTGGGAGACAACCAATCAGTGTGTCTCGCTCACATCTATGTTTCTCCCCTCCCTCTCACTCTCACTCTATCTGAAAATCAAGTAGGAAAGTGTCTTCGGGTGAAGATTAAAAAAAAAATGACAACAGCCAACAAAACAATAGCCATCAGGTGTGAATTCCTTGTCTTGAACCATAAATATACAGGTCATATAAGAGAGTTGTATGTTATTGGTCACATCACATAATAAGGTTGCATCTGATTGGTTAATTCTTGACACCAAAAATCCTCATATACACTTATAGGCATCTGATTTTTTTAAAAAGTTACTTTGGAGCAAAAGGGTAGATTATTATTATTATTTTGTAAATCAATCAAAATTATACCTATTTTTTGTCAGATCAGCAAAAATATTATTATTTTGGTGTTCTACAGAATTTTAGCAATTAGTTTATGTGTGCCACAAGATGAAAAAGGTTGAAAATCGTTGGTCGAGCTGACTGCAAACACAGGAGTGAAACCAATAGAACAACTGCCCAACTAAGTCCAATCCAAACTGCCAACACATAAAATCGTAATCTAAATAAATGGTTGTTATTTTAAGCCACTATGTGTTGGGGTGATTTTCCACACAGCAAAGACTAACTTACAAAATCTATAATAAGGCTACTATTGAGGTTGTAGTGTACCACAAAAGCAATGTGCCCTTTATGAGTCTTTGGAGGAGAAAAGTCCTCCCAGGTCTTAGGACCAAAAAAGCTACGTATCATCTAACTAAGTGGATTGTTTTTACCTTTTGCACTCATTCTCTGATGTAACCCTGTGAAGATCGGAGTCAAATCCAAAGCTGCCATCTTCCCACTTCCTTAGCAAGCATATAAGGCTCTCTGGCATGCATTTTAATATTTTAACCATGCCTGTAGCTCCACACCTGTTTATTTTGCCCCAATGTCCTTACATATTTTAATCTTTTGTATTATATGTATTTCTATGAGCTGCCTCAAAATGTTTACATAAAATTGGAGTACAAGTGAATTAATCCAAGGACTGTGTTATAGCCTTAAAAACAGCAATGAAGATGAGGGCAGCCAAACTGTCATCTCCAAAGAAACTACCACTGATATTTTTCACCTTGATCTGATTTTGGGTTATCAAAACAGTTTTTACCCCAAAACACATCAAAGCCAAAATGACTCCATCTGAAGTATTCAGAATTTTTCCACCTTTCCCAGGAAGGCAGTAGAATATGTCTTAATAGTTTGGCACTTTGAGTTGGACTTGCTTGGCTTTGATTTCTGGCTTTACCATTTCTTAGCTATGTGATTTTGACTGAGTCAATCACTGTGGACTCTGGTCTTCAATTTCTTTGTGTTATGGGGATAGTAATAACTATAGGGGATCATGAGGGTGAAGAGAGAGAATATGTACAAAGCATTAGCCATTATTATTATTGATTTTACCACTACTCCTCTTCACTTTCTTTTTTTCCACAGACTCTTCATAAATGCATCATCCTCATTAAGGTGACAATGCTATGAGACACAATCTAAGGCCACCATTAAAGACAATGTCTACATGGCTGGTTCAGTTTATTATGGAATTTCATGCATTCATTGCCTTGATGTATAAATACAAGACCTTCCCTGATGTCTCAGACATCTGGTATTACCCTATAAGGATAGAAATACCTTTGCCTCGTTGTTTCTTTTCCTTTTGTTCACTTAATTTGTCCAGAGGTAGATTTGTCATCTCAACTCCATAAACAGTTCTTGCAAGCACTGCTGTCAAAGAGTCCATGATGTTGGCCCACTCATTTATGAGTTCCTCCCACTGTGTGAGGGAGGACAGCACACCAAGAAAGTCATCCCAGAGTTCTCGAGAAATGTACACACAGAGGTTTGCTCGGATCCAAGCCACAATGAGTGTCTGAAACCAACCAACCAATGAGAGAATTCATTATCTTCCTTTGGAAAAAGAATAAGTTTTAACAAAATATTTTAAATTACTATAAACAAAATGAATTTTAAAATGACAACTGCTTTTGGATTTTGTTTTTAACTTCTCAAAATTCATTTGATCAACTGTAATCAGGATTTGAGCTACTGTGAAGTTGGTTATCATTATGAACAGAGCTACTGATTAAAAATTATTCCAGTGTCTGTGGCTGGTCCTGGTGTAATTGGGGAGACCGGGGAGAAGACAAGGCTCTCTATACAGCTATTCTGTTTCCTGAGACAGCTCTTTTCATCATTCTCTATAGTGGCTACTTCAAATCTCTTCCATATGTGAACCTCTAACCTCACCAACTCCTCCCTGATTTTTAGCAGATGAACTCATTGCAAACTTCAGAGAAAAAAAGAACCCATTAAACAAGATGCTCTAAATCTCTGCTCACAAGACCCATGCATTCGCCCAGCTTCTCCTCCACCTGCAGGCTCTAAATAAAGAGGGATTCCTGCTCTTCTATACTTGTCCCCACCTCTGCCCTGAACCTCTTCCTCAGAGTCTTGGTGTCTGTATTAACCCCGCCTCTCCTTTATCTCCAGTCCATCCTACTTCCCCAGCTCTTCCCATCAGCATAAAATACTTCCCTGTTCCTCATCTTTAAAAAAAAATTTTTTTTAAAGTTCCCTTGAACAAGGATTTTCCCTTCTAGCTAGAGCCCCCTTTCTCCCCTTTTCAAAGCCAAATTTTGAAAAAGAATGTTCCACACACACTCCATCTGCACTTGTTCATCTGCCAGCCAACCAATTTCTCTGGGTTTCTCCCTCCTGAGCCATTCCACTTTTGCCTGGGTTTGGTCTCCATCCTCACAGCTCCAATTATCATCTGTGTACTGCTGACTTCTGAATCGCCATGTTTGGCCCAGAACTCTTTGCTCGTTTCCTGACTTATCTATCTGCTTACTAGGTAGATAGCTCTACCTGCATGTTCAGCAGGCACCTGTAATACATCATAATAGTAAAAAGAATTCAATTTCTTCCATTGAGATTGTTCCAATTCCTCAACCTGGTTATCTTCTGCTCCTTGGCCCTTGTATACATACTTCCCCTTTCCTCTCTTTTGCCTCTTTAATTCCCATTCATTCTTCAGGTCACAACTTGGACATCACTTCCTCCAAAGTGTTCCACCCCCCACCTCCAGTTGCCGTCAGTTCCCATAATTCTCTGCATTTCCCGCATCACCTTATTGCCCATTTCCTTAGGAGTCCATTGACTTCTGTGTGTCCCTCCTCTAGTTTTATGGTTCACTGCACTACAACTGGTCACATGGGCAACCCTACAAGACTATTACACGTATAGTCTGGATATTTCCTTACCTTGAAATTGCCCAGTTCCTTACATCTGGCAAAATACTCCACACCCTTCAAAATTCAAATCAAAATGTATCTCCCCTGAAAGATGTGCCAAGTCCATCTCAGATAGGCTCCAGATGCTTTCCTAACCTTAGTAGGGGAAATTTTTATCTAAAGTTTGTATAACCTCCCTGATCTGTTGTCAGAGCTAAATGTACTTGTTAAGGTGACAACCTGCAAATTTAGAAAAAGAGCCCTGGCCAGTTTGGCTCATCAGTTAGAGAGTAGGCCCAAGGAATGAAGAGTCTCAGATTCAATCCCCAGTCAAGGAAACATACACTGGTTGCAGGTTGGATTCCTGGCCCTGGTTGGGGTTGCGCAGGAGGCAACCAATCGATATGTCCCTCACATCAATGTTTCTTTTCTCTCTCTCTCTCTCTCTCTCTCTCTCTCTCTCTCTCTCCCCTCCCCCACCCTCCCATTTTAGCTTTTAAAAAAATCAATGGAAAAAATATCTCTGGGTGAGAATTAAAAAAAAAAATTAGAAAAATATAAAAGGAAAATGACAACTTAAAATTTCCTGTCCCCTTTAATAATCTTATTCAAATTTTTAAAAATTAAGTATCTGGCAATTGTCAAGTGAATAATAATTAGATGGTACATTTTAATTTTACTATCAGACTAAGACGATGCCCACTTGATTGCCTGGTAGCTTTGTCCAGACCATTCACATACATTGCAAATGAATTCACTCTCATTCCTATGACAACCCAGCAAGACAGGAAAGAATCCTTTCTTGACTGTGATAGATTAGGGAGGAGACTCAGAAAGGTGAAGTTATTTGCTCAAGGCCACACAGCCAGAAATGCCAGAGCTAGGATCAGAACCCAGAATCTAAACTCCCAAAAGCCAAAAGCCCATCTTCCCTCTACTACCCTATGGTTAGTTCTTAATTTAAGCATTCTTCTTGATCCATCTAACCAGTACCAAAATAATAGCAACAACAACAACAAAATCGAAATCATTAATAATCAGGGACTCAAAACTATTCTTGAAGTTAAGATCTGACAAGATTTCTCCATTAATGAGGGGCGGGGGGGATTTTCTCTCCTAAACCAAAACCAACCAAATAAACAAAAAACAGAGGTCCATAATAGTCTTGATTAATTCAGTGACAAGTTCTCACTCTAATGCCACTGCACACACTCACAGACAGGCAATTGGTGATGAATGAGTCCTGAGTGCCCACCAGCCTGAGCTTGGCTTGGCTTCAGTCCATGTCTCTTAGCAGCCCCAGTCCATCAGGAATGAGAGATCAAGAAGGTGCTGACAGCTAGATGCTCCATGAAAGTCAGAGCAAAGTGAGCAGACTGTCTGTATTTCCAGGAGGGCAACAAGGCAAGTGGTGAGCACTACCCTTGAGGCAAGAGCACAGTAACTCACAAAAGGATGTGTGAACCACTTCCTATATCCAATAACTAGGCAAGGCAATCATAGTACAAGTGATTATACTATTCAGGAGGCAAGTCAGTAGTGCATGCCAATTATTTCTGCAGCCTCTCATACATATTTTATCAAGTCAGGATCATTCAATCATGTTAAATTATTAAAAATTACCATGAACAGTTGGGTTTCTTATGTTATACTGGGAATAATCTGTTTTGTTTGAAAAATTAATTTCTCTTTTTATCACCTTCACCTACATATCCTACCTGTATTCTAGATACGGTCTTAATATATATCATCCAAAACCACCTTTACATCAACTGAGAAGTTAATTTGTCCCTGTAACTGTCCTTTCCCATCTGATAATCTACCATGATTTCTCATATTAAAGTATCAAAGTCATGCCCTGGCAGGTTTGGCTCAGCAGTTACAGTGTCAGCCCGTGGACCAAAGGGCTGTGAGTTTGATTCCCAGACAAGGGCACATACCTGGGTTGCAGGATCAATCCTTGGCCCCACTTAGGGTGGTCCAGGAGGCAGCTATCTGATGTGTCTCTCTCACACAGATATTTCTTTCTCTCTCCCTCCCTTCCATTCTATCTTAAAAAAATCAATGGAAAAATATCCTTGGGTGAGGTTAATTAAACAAAAGAAAAAGTCAAGCTCATCCATTGTACTAATGCCTTTGTGTAGAATGTGACATTATTCCAGAATCCTTTTACACTGTTTCTTTCAGAAATGCTTCCTAAATTCTATGTATCCCATAAATAGATAAAATATTTTATCTTGTAGATAAAATAGCCTAGCACCCTCAGGACCTTTAAAACTTCTACTTTTTAGACAGTTATTTATCATCTACCTTTTCCTTTTTCTCCCTCGGAGTGATGTCAAATGTTCTTGACCCTTCTTATCATGTGAGGCCAAACCAGCCTTCCTCACCTTATCTAGGACTTCGCTTCTGCAGTGCCCTTCCCTTTCTCCCAGACTGTCTTACTCTCCCTCACTGGACCATCCCCACTGGCAAGCAAACATACTTTAACCCCAACCACCTTAAACCCTGCCCTCTAAACATGCTGCCCATTCTAGCTAGCTCTTGTTTCCTCCTCCCATCCACATCAATAGCTCTGCAAAGCCTTAACTATACTTGTTACCTCCACTGCCCAGCTCTCATTTTCTCCTCTATCCACTCCAAGTGATTTAAAACACAACTGTCCAATACACCAATGGCTCTCATATTTTTATTTCTAGCCGGAACCTTATTCCCATTCCCATGCTTCTGTTCATTCTTTACCTCTTCAAATCTACCTGGCCCTCCAACAAAGCCATCAGCTCTTGGTATTTTCCTAATTTCTACCAACTTCAAGCAAATCAAAAAAGAAAATAAATAGTGAAGAAGTAGAAAGGCCTAAAAGAAGCCTTGAACTAATTGTAAAGAATAGATTACAACCTTCATGACAAAACTAAGGAAATTTTCTAATTAAATTTCTAGAAATTTAAAGTTAATTTAGTTTTACTCTTAAAATTCTCAATGATTAAAACTACTTTGCTGTAAAATCTGATTCACTTCATGCATTTGCAATGTTTTAATAAAAAAAACTTACCCTAAACAGTAACCCTGCCAAGCTCTGGGCAAACAAGTCCTTTATTTGTTTATCTTTTGGCTTCTGCATGACAGCTTCTGTTATCCTGAGTAGTATTTGCAACATCTGTTCCCTGGGCCACCCAAAATAAAAGCTTGTATTAATCACATCTCCAAAGCACTTCAATTTATAGGTACAAGAAATTCTCTTAACAATTCAGCAACATTTATAAATATGTATTACTCAAAAGTACTAAAAACTGGAATGCCCATTATATAATGAATATCACATTTTGTCAAAATAAGCTACCTTGTTACAACAGTTCTAACAATATGCCTCTATATGCCTATGTCAATAGGCTGGGTAAAACAGGTATCATCCTGCCCTGATTTTCTCCCCATGCAAGAAGGGAGAAAAGACTGTTTCTCCAACTGTGGCAGTCATTCAGTAAATTTCAGTGCCTATTTGAACTCATGTAGCACCCTTTAATTTTCACATCCATTATATTATTTAACCTGCGAAGTCTCCCTATCTATCTTTGTGATTAAAAATAAAACTGACTTTCTGGTCTTCATACTGGGGGGATAAGCAGTCAACATCAGAGTATAACTGAACTCCATAGGTAGGAAGGTTTGGAAAGGTCACCACTGGTCACTTTGAGGAGCTTTATGCCTGGAAGATCCTGACTCTGTACCACAGGGCACAACTGAGACAGCTGCGATCATGACATCTCAGTCACAGTGTACCTTGCAGAAAGGGGTTTTTATATAAAAGGTCTTTGAAAATATAAAACAATAGAGATACAGAATAACACTACTAATTATAATAGTAATAAGATCTTCAGAACAGCCAAAAGGTATTTTTCCTTCTTAAAGCTAAGTTATATTCCTCACATCAGTGTCTGCTCACTTTTTCTTATCCTGAATTTCATGGAATCTGAGAACACGTTACCTTTTGTATATAAGGTCAGTCTATTTGTTCTCTGAGAGAAATCACCTCAGTTCCTTTTAGCTTCTCCTTTGAGATTTCATACACTTCTCACCTGTTTATCTTTATAACTTTCTTCTTGGCCTTACTGCTCTTTAGTGATAAAATCAAGAGCTGAACAGAGTCTTGTAGTCCAGGTCACATAATGAGATCGCTAAATCATAGTTCTTTTATACTTTTCTCATATTTCTGCCTATTGGGACAGTATTTTCTCTTAACACGACACTGAATCTCATTAAACTTCTCAGGGTTAATGACCTCTAGGGATTTCCTGCACTATTTGTATCTGAGCCCATTAGATTTTCGTCCTGAGGTTATCTGTTGGTATGCATTCTCACTGGATTCTTTTGTACCTGTCTTCTTGTCCCATACACTGCCTATGGATTCCGGAGCAGGGAGTAAGAGCTGTCAAGTCATGGGAGATCTGGGCACATGTGCATGAAGTGGATAGTGACTCTGAAGAGGTGAGGAAAGAAATGGAGCAGAGCTGGGACAACCTGTCACTCACCACATTCAGGGTCCCTGGCCCTGGTCATAGGTGAAGGGAAGGGTAGACCCCGGTGTCACCACTGCCAGCTCACATTATGTGATACTTAAGACAATGAGAAAAAAAAAGATCCCTTCCACACAAATGGTTATATACTCATCATGTAATCATGATGAGAATAAGAGATGTAATAATTTTAAATAAGACCTCAGTCATAGGAACTGCTATCAAAAAATGCAAACCTGATTGAAGCAATGACTGACAAAGATACAGTATTGATTTAATTTCTGAACCTATGAAAACTTGAAAATGCATGGAAGTCCCATAAGCATCTCTTCTAGAAAAAAATGAGCATGAAAAAATTATCTCCAGTTTGGAAAAATCTTTCCTAACAATTTTGACTTCAGTTTGTTCCTTTCTATTTTGTGAAACACTGACTTTTGGTAACTGTTCCTCAAAGGAAAATTAACTGCTCAAAGAACGTAACAAACTTCTATCAGAGCACGTGAAATTATGCATATGTGCTACCCTGTGTTGGCAGGGAAATAGGGTTTTCCTGCACACTGTTATTTTCACTGTCCTCATGATCTCACACAGATGATATTGTTGCTCATTCACACACCAGAATTCACTATTTTGGGGCCACTTCGTAGCACTTCCCTGGCTACAGCACTAGTCTAAGCGGCCACCATCAGATCTATGGCCACAGACTTTGTATTCTACCCACCACGCTGTCTCTTCTTCACATGGAAGTCAGAGAGATCTTCTGAAAGCATAAATCAGATCTGTGTCACACTACTGCTCACACACACAGAATTGCCAGTAGCCTTCAAAGTCCCATGCAACCTGGCGATGGCGGGCCCCCTGCCCCATCTCCTCCCACTCTCTTTCCCTCTGTCCATTCCACTACATTGCCTATCGTCTTATGCTACCTGGAACATTATGTGCTTGTTACTTGCTGTTCTTTCTACCAGGAATGTTCTTCCCTCAGTCCTCCCCATGGTTTCTCTCTCCCTTTCTTCAGGGTTCTGCTCAGGAAGGCTTCCCTGACACCTGATGAAAAAAATCTCCCTGCCCTGTATAGCTTCCTTATTCTTTTTAGCATGTTATACTACTGAAATTGCTTCTGTGTTCATGATATCTCTCAGTCTATGAGGATAAAAACCTCATGAAGGCAGGGATATTATTTGTCTAGTTTACCCAATATCCTCAAAGCAGACGCTAGGCAGTTCTTTATTGAATGAAAGAAGGGAGGAAGAGATGGGAGGGGGAAAGAAAAAAGGAAGGGAGGGAAGGAAGGGAATTCAGGAATTGTCTGGTTCTAAAATATATAACAAAATCTGCTATAGAAAAAGGCACATCCCTTTCTATATTCTACTAACTATTCTTGGTGAGTATTTTAATCTATTTCTATAATTTGTTTTTTTATACTTTTACCTGGAAATTTCTGAATTATTAAGGAACAAAGAATTGCTTAATTTCACTTCCTAAAATTTTCACTAAAAAAGGTTATCAAAAATATAACTAATACAATAGTATGCTGAATTCACAGAATTTTCAAAGAAAAAAATACTGTTGCTATAACTGTGCTATCAAGAAGCAGATATCACAGTTAAGAGCATACTAGCATTTCTCATCACTTTCAGCATTACTGACACAACATTTAACTTTGTTTAAATCATATTGTTCATCAGTCTAATATTTCTAGTTTTAACAATTGCTTCTTGGCAAACAGTGCTAAGTTTAAAAGTTTGGAAAAGATGACAGTGGAATTTATATCTTAAAATAATTATTTGATAGTTGTAGTTTCTGTATTAATGAACTTTCTGTGGAACAGGATTCCTCAAGGCCCACCCTCCCCTCCTCTGAGAAAGAAAAGGGCTGGAGCCCTGGCCAGTTTTGCTCAGTGGTTAGAGCGTCGGCCCATGGTCCAGAGAGTTTGGGTTCAGTTCCCACTAAGGGCATGGCACGTACCTCGGTTGCAGTTTGTCCCCCGCCCTGACCCAACCAGGGCCATGAAGGAGGTAGCCACTCAATGTGCCCCTTTCACATCAATGTTTCTCTCCCCCCCCACCCCCACCCTCCCTCCCAACTCTATCTGAACAAAAAATGGAAAAATGTCCTCGGGTGAGGATAAAAAAAAGAAAGAAAGAAAAAAGAAAAGGGCTGGAGTCAATGGCCCCTGATGCCCCTGCCAGCTCAGTCCTACCTCATTTTTATGGCTTTGACAACCTACAGACAGATCCCTCCAAAGCACCTTTTGTGCTGACTCAAGAATGTCCAGAAAGGGCATCCAGAACCCAGGCCTGGTAACACAGACCCACCCCCACCTCCAAGATTTCCAGGAAGGAAGGATGCCATCAGTCCTGGTCTGCTGTAGCCTCAGTGAACTGACAGCTAAGGCCAAAGATCACTAACAGGAATGCTGACCACAGCCAGGCAATAGTAAGGGCAACCTGTCTGTTTGACGATGGTGAATAGGTGAGAGGAACATGAAAAAGATGAACTGAAGAGATATTTTAAAGGCAGAACTGAGCCCTGGCCAGTCTGGCTCAGTCGTTAGAGCATCGGTCCTCGGACCAAAGAGTCATGGGTTTGATTCCAATCAAGGGCACATACCTCTGTAGTGGCCCTGGTCAGGGTCATGCAGGAGGCAATCAATTGAGAAGTGTATCTCTCACATTGGTGTTTCTTTCTCTCTATTCCCCCTCCCCCAACTCTAAGATAAATGAAAAAATATCCTTGGGTGAGGATAAATAAATAAATGCAGAACTGAGAGGCTGTCTTTCCGATGAATTAAGGAAGAGAAGGAGTAGGAAGCAGCAATGAGGTGCTCTGGTCTGTAGCTGAGAACCTTTAAAAACACCTCAGAAGCTGAAGTGCTATGAAGATATTCATTATGGGAGAATAGCACGGGATAAAAAACTAATGCACTATTAACCTTTAGGGATATTATAAACATAAAAACACCAAACAAAAACAAAGGTTGAAAATTAAAACAGTTCGCATAAGCATATTTTAACAATGCCACTATATTTTTGACTGTACTGTTTTTTCAGTCACTCTGACAATTTATCATTTAAAATAATTGTTTTTCCAAATGAATTTAAAACGTCAAGTCTGAAGCAATAAAAGGCAGTTAACAGCAGTTTGGAGCAATTAACAAACTGTCCTGAGCTTATGATGAATGATAGTATAAAACCCCAGTCATAATGCTTTTCCACAAAACCGTTTGATGTCAGTTCAAAACGGACAAGTCTACTATTAATTTTACCACTTACTGTTAATACAAGAACATTTTTAAAGCCAATAATGAAAATTAATGAATTATCAAAGTATTGAATACTTACCTTCTTCAAAATTCACAGAAACTTTTACAAAAGACTGTTGATCATCTTATTGTTGTTAACTTTGTAAAGCTATAAATTTAATGAAGGCTGAAACATTTCAATTATTGTTATAAAATAAAAACATCTGTTTTATAATATTAATAAATTTGAAATTAACTTACCATGTCTTTTTATTCATTGAAAGCTCCATTATCATGCGCCTAAAAATAATCAAAACAGCTTTACAAGCATCAACTTGTTCTTTCAAGAGTATGGGAACTTCAGCACATGGTTCCAGCAAAAAGACGTTCGCAGCATTTGTCAAAAATACCTTTAAATAAACAAACTGTACTTCAAAAAAAAATATTAAACATATAAATATGAACAAATTTTGCTTAACGATAATGATACCAATTTTACTTTACCAATGAATCACCTTTGAGTTATAACATTTTAATTAAGGCAAAAATACGGTACCAACACATACTTGAAATTACTTTTTCATTCATCTCTTAAAATCACTCAAATATTGAGAAACCTGAAAGATCATTCCTAGAAAAAAAATTATAATCACATAGTAATGTTGTGACTTTAGAAATTTTATGAATCAGAAAAGCTTTTGAAAACATTTTTTTTTTTAATATCCCCTCCAAAAAAAAAAAAGAGAAGACAGGAAAAGATCACTGACTGGGTGAGAAATTTGGGGGTGGGGAAAGGACGAGACACTGTGGTCAGAAAGTGGCTGGAAAGAACTATCTGATGAATATTGAATCCTCCAGTACATGAACAACTCGCTCACAGAAAGCATGGCCAGCCAGTACCACCCAACAAAGGCATGGGCCTGTAGGAACAGTGGCATGCCAGGAAATAGCCAAAGCTACATGATTGACAATGCATATCCTCCAGGAGCATATATTTCTTATTTACTTACTTTTTTTAATCCTCACCCAAGGATATTTTTCCATTTATCTTCAGATAGAGTAGAAGGGAGAAAGAGAGAGAGAGAGAAACACTGATGTGAGAGAGACACATCAATTGGTTGTCTCCTGCACAAACACAACCAGGGCCAGGGACCGAACCAAGGTACGTGCCCTTGACTCTTTGGTCTGTGGGACGACACTCTAACTGCTGAGCCACACTGGCCAGGGCCAGGAACATATATTTTTAATATGAGGACTATAATGTGCAGTAGAATATAAAACCTAAGTGAATTTAAGTTAAAAACAAATTTCTAAAAAAATTTAGATACTTAGCAGACTACTCTATGCTCTACCTCAGATCTCTAGGATACAAGTTTACTGTCCTCTACCATCAGGGATATTTCAGCAGAAAACAGTGAAAAATACTAACCAAGGTTATCATGTGGTAAGTTTATGGCTTAGGGGCACTATAATACAATAACAACAGTGTGCTACCATTTACACAGATGACACTAGTGACCCTCAATTTAGGATTTTCTGAGTTGTCAATCTAGTTATGAGGATGGATCTGTTCCATCCATCTAGAGCTAGTTCATATTGGGTTTCCTTTGTGTTCAACAGTACAAATTCAAAGGATCTAGGAATAAACAGAACTTCTCTGGCTTACCCATGGAAGAAATCCATTAACACAACATCTTAAAACAGACGCAAAAACTGACTGGAGAAATTAACATACTTCAAAAGTCAACTGTATGAACCAAATGTTGACAGCGTTGAAAATTATCTTATGCTATATTAAAAAGGTATCATGCCTCTATTTTTAAGGAAGAAGTACTAAATAAGCAGAATAGTTGACAATAGATAACAGTAATGACGAAGAATTCACTAGCCTTCAAGTAAGAGAAAAGAAACCAAAGAACTTTTTGACTAACAAACTAAAGCAGTTTTATGACTATGTTTTTAAAAGAAGTATGCCCTACGTGATATGTTGCAATACAGATACTTTTCATTCAATGTATTTGGCTTCTAGATTTGAATTTGAAACTTTTGCATTTTCCCAAGTAAAAGTGAGAAGATCGTCATATATGGAATGGGGCAAAAGTAGGTTTATAGTTGCTAGTACACAAAAGTCAGAGTTTACTCTTTTTTAAAATTATTTATTATTATATTATTTTTCATATGAACTAAAAACCTACTTTTGTCCCACCCAGTATTTTACTTCTTTATTTTACCTTTAAAAAAAAACATCAAAATGCCAACTACATGAATATTTATTTCTTTCTAGTTTCTGGTAAGGTAAAAATAAACAAAATTAATTATGTCCATATTGTAATTGTCAAAAGCAACTACAGAAGAGTTCTATGTTATCAAACCTCTATTTGTACACTTTTTGCTAATGAATCAAGCAAAGGACCAACACTGGATACAATGAGAATAAAATCAGCTATTTAAATCTAAACTTAATTTTCTAAAAATCTGTAGTGCTATAATTAAGTAGAAAAATGTTTTCTTGGTTCAGTTAAGTAAATGTAACATATCCTTTCAGAAAGCAAGTAACACTCTTCTGAACTCAAGGAGATAACCTGCAACCCAGCCAACACTGGGATGGCTGATGATTACAATCTGGTATCTACCAGGAAGAAGGGGCTACCAAGGGACTCAGGGCAGGCAAGGACTCCTGGGTGAATTTCTTTGGTTGGGACACCGGTTATATTTAAGAGCTATACCAAAGTCCTTTAAAGCTACTAAAGCAAAAGTTAATTTCAAATTATTTGCTGATTTTCCATGAAAAATGAGAAAATTCTTTAGTGATAATGTATTAAACTGTTAATTAACCTGAAAACAAAAAGGATTCCAAGATAAGAAATTCTATCAAGAGACAGATAATAAAAACACAGTGTGACTGGAAACTGGGTAACATGCATGCCATCCCCAAACTCCATGCCTGTGCTCTGTGTGGGAGGCCTAACTGGATCCATCTATAAACGTGGATATGGGATGGTGGGTGAAGTGCCAGGGAACAGAGGAAGGAGAAGCACCCCGTTTTCACTTCTGCTTGTAACAACATTCAAGCTGGATGGGACCAAGAGATATTTCCCCAATTCCTATTTCTGAGATAAAATCCTGATATCTGGGGAAATTAAGTGATAAGCCAAAATTGTTCTTTCCAAAGTTCCCAAGTGGTATCAGTTCCATTTCATAAATTCATGCAAATAACTATGTAAAAATTATTGTATTAATCATCATTCTTCATAAACATAATTTTTAACAGGAATATTACTTATAAAATTACATAATCAACCACACTTATCTTGCAAATTAGAGTTGAGGTAACTAATTACTCATACGTGTTCCTAAGATACTTAAAAATCTGTAACCTGTTCATATGTCTCCTTTGAATAGAAAAAAATTCTTTACAAATTGAAAGTGAGAACTCAATCAGGAAAAAAACTTAGAATGAGAATTTAAGAACTGTTTACTGACAGATGGCTAAAAATATCACCATACTTTATAGGATGCTATTTTAATACACAAATGTTCAAACTGACTCCAACTGGGGCCCTTTATGTCTCTGGCCAGCCGGCCACATACCTGCAGCATTGCCTGGGCCCCGGCTCTGACGTTCTTATTTTCCTCTTCTGTCACACACCCTCTGCTCACTGCACTTGTGAAGGAGTAAGTTCGTCCCCAACTGGAAGATCGCTTATGACCAGAACTTTCAGATGCAGTCTTTAGAAAATAACAGTTAGTTAATAAAGGTGGAAAAAGCACGTTTGAATATTGAATTCCTTATTTGAACCAGAATTTACAAGAATAGGTTTTAGAAAGGCAAGGGTTTTTGTTTGTTTATTTTTCCCATTTTGTTCACCACTCTACCTCCAGCACCTAAAATAGTACCTGCAGGTTACTGTATGTTGAATAAATAAACAAACATCCAATGACTGAATGAGCAGATAATATAGACCTTTAAAATGTGTGCTTAATTCCATTTGCTCATCTCTTCATTTTGACCTCCTGACTAGTTAAAAAATCAAAATTATGTAATTAATACAGATATTTGAAAGTGATACACCTTTGGTCACAAATATTTTTAAATGTTTGCTCTCAAATGCTATGACAGACACCTACTTTCAGAAATATTTTCTCAGACAGTATTTCAAAATAGCATGCCAGAAATATAAATATGACTTAAATTTCTTTTGTGTTTCAGGAAGAGGTCCCTGTTATTTTATATCAATAAAATATAAATATAAAACACTGTTATTTTATATCAATCCAGCCTGTAACTTTATCAAACACAGACTAAGAGATCCATTCTGAGAGCACTCACTCTCTGAGAATGCTATTTATTTCTCAAATGCTATTTATTTAAACGTATCAATGATAAGGCAGTGACATTTTTAGGATCATGGAGAAATGTGTAAAATAGTTTATTAAACAACTCTGTGCAATGACGAATAATGAAGCTGCAATGCACATGTGGACCTAGCCTGAGGGTTAGGAGATAACCAATGATCTTGAATAGAGCACAAATGCAGTCTCACTGAGGCAGGTAGGTCATCAGGGAACTGAGCAACTTGAGAGTATCAGAGACGATAAAAAAAGAGATCCACCTGCCAGGGATCTTTGACTGAGCAGGTGTATTTTGCTAAAATATATACACTCCCAACTGAAACAAGTGATAAAATATTACCTCCTTGCTGTCAGTCTCAGGAAATCCTAATTTTTCAGCATCTTCTTGGGCAACTTCTTTTTTATCTGGTTCCTCCATGAACGTGGGTTTGTCCTGGAGGATCCACTTTCTGTACACCTGAACTACTTTCCTTGTTACTGCTATGTCACAGGAAGGCAACAAAAATGCCTACAATAAAAAGAGAAAGCTCCCTTTTTAACTCCACACAAGTTCAGATTACTATAGAGCCACATAACAGATATTTCCAATCACCATCACCAATTTCAGACTTGCCTTTAAAATGTACAGCTTGTTTAACTGACTATAGAGGGTCACATATTTTTGTGCACACCAAACTAATCTGAAGAAAAAAGGTATTTTCATAATTGTGTGAGAAAATACAATGCAATTTAAAAATAACGTATATATTCTGAATAATTTTTCCACAGAATTAACCAAACTGCAGGCCTCTACAGATAGTCTAAATGGCTATTAACAATAATAATTTCCCTGGCCAGTTTGGCTCAGTGGTTAGAACATCGGCCTGCAGATCAAAGAATCACAGGTTCAATTCCAGTCAAGAGCATGTACCTTGGTTGCGGTTCATCCCTGACCATAGGGTTGTGTGGGAGGCAACCAGTCAGTGTGTCTCTCTCATATCGATGTTTCTCTCTCTCCTTCCCACCCTAACTGATGATAAATATAAAAATATCCTCGGGTGAGGATTAAAAAAAAGAACAATTAAAAAAATAATAATTGTACAACTGGAAACTTTTCCCAGTGAATTAAATATAAATTATAAGATAACAGACATCCTAGTACAACCAGTTGCAACCAACTGTCAAATCTCTTCCCAACTCCACGTTTAGTGACGTCCATGTTGGTAGCCTGAATTAGCCAAAGTGAAAAGTATTTATACTACAGAAATCTGCAAATGCTGCCATCTGCTCTTTTTTTTTATTTTGTCTTTGCCTTTGCCTTTCCTTGTCTTTCTTTCTTCTTTTCTTTTTTCTTTGCTTCCTCCTTTCCTCCCTCCCTTCCTTTTTTGAGAGCCAGCTGTTTAATATTTATAGCATACCACTGAGTAGAGATATCAAGGTTAATGAAAGCACTGGACAGTTGTAGCATTATGTACATTTATGTGAACTTTGTAATGTTAAATGATCCCCGTATTATCTATATATAAGAATTTTGATTTAATATAATAAATTTAAAAAATGTAAAGGGAAAATATATTTGCCTTTTTAGTATCAGCTTTAAGAAATATTTCTGTATGAGGGGTAAACAGGAAAAAGTATTCATTACTCCAATGAATGCTTTAATTCCGTCGATAAGAAATTAAGATGAGACTCAGAACAACTGAGATATTTTCCCAAATTTACAAAATTAATTAGCAACGAATCCACATCCTGATCTCAAGTTTCAGAAAAAATTTTACTACCATCCTAAAACTTCACGCTTCAGGATCCACTTAAAGGCAGAGTTCAATGCAATAAGGGTTTATGCAATATATAAATCTCCATAGATGATCCCATCAAATTCCAGAACATATAAGTTTGTGTTATAACAAGATTGCAACATATCAATGTATCAAATATTCTGATGTTTGTTGCAAGAAAGATCAACAAAGACAAAGAAGAGTGTGGCAAAAATACACTGATGTCCTATTCTAAGTTTGTTCCAAAATTTCCACACATACAGAAAGTTGGAAGACTTTTACAATGACTACCCATATACCCATTCCCTAAATTCTACCATTAGCATTTGTTATAACTGCATTATCACACATCTGTCAATCCACCTCTCTCTATCTATCCTTCTTTCAATCCACTTTATTTTTTATGAATTTCAAAGAAAGCTACAGACATCAGTACATTTCACCCCTAAGCCTTTCAGCATGTATATCATGGATGTGAGTTCAAAATTTATCATACTTTACGTAAAATTTATAAACAATAAAATGCACAAATGTTAAATAGATTATTTTATGAGTTTTGAAAAATGTAGACTAGTATGTAACACAAATCCAGTAAAAACCTATACTCTTTTATCCTGCTCCTGGAAAGAAAATATAAATCCTCTCTGTAGGAAAATAAAATCATAATGAAATAAAAAATTTCTGTATGAACCACGGGCTATTATGACATGTAGCATATTAATAAAAAATCAGAAATATGAGAAAAGAAGTCAATGCTAACAAAACCACAATAAAAATAGATAACACTGAAAAAATACAGAATATCTAAAGTATCAGAAAAAGATGTAAATGGAATTGAAAAAATAAAATAACTGAAATTAAAAATTCAGAGTTAACAGAGCTGAGAGAAAACTAGATTTAAAAGAATATCAGAAAACATCCAGAATGAAGCTTGAGAGGCAAAAGGATGGCTAACTCAGAAGGGAAGAGAGAGAATACAATGAAAAGGTTATCCTACGCATGGCTGGAGATGCAGAGGAAAGATTAGTAAAACGGGGCAGAAATAATATTTGAAGAAAGAATGGCTGAGAATTTTGCCAAAATTGGTAAGAAACACAGTTGTCCCTCGCCACTTCGAGCTTTGACTTTCGCGGCTTCACTCTATCGCAATTTTTTCAAATGCCATATTTACAAATACTATAGTATACAAATACAGTATATGAAAAAACCGCGATAGAATGAAGCTGCGAAAGTCAAAGCGCAAAGAGGCAAGGGATGACTGTGTATAAGTACAGGCCTTTTCAGGGCAAGCACAACTGTTTGCAGAAACCTCCAGCTCCTCAGAGAGCTCCCTCGGCCCCTGGAACAATACCAGACTTGGGGACTTGTTTGCTATGTTCATTTGTTCATACTTATATTGGAATGGCTTTCTTTCCACCTACCTCTGGTTTCAAAGTTTGTTATGAAAACATAGGTATTTTACACATGATCTCACTCATTTGTGGAACATAATGAACATAACAGTCTGAGGAATAGGGTAGACCCAGAGACGTGGAAGTAGGGTACAGACTGACAACCCTCAGAAGAGGGGATTGTGGGGGGAAGGAAGAGATAAACCACAGAACTTATATACATGTACACATAACCAATGGACAAGGACAACAAAGCCGGGGACGGGATGGGGGGAGATGGGGAGGAGGGTGTCAATGGGGTAAAAAAAGAGAAACACCTTAACAAAAATAAAATAAAAAAATAATAATAAAAAAATTTAAAAAAGAGATAATGGTTCTTTAAAATTAGACTTATTCAGTACATAAAAATTTTTCTGTTCTAAAAAAAAGAGAACATAGGTATTTTGGGATGATTTTGTTCAAATATAAAATTTTCCCTCTACACATAGAAATTCTACAAAAACACAATTTTAAAAATTCACAAATGAAATAAAATCATCCAATATGCCACATGACAAATGAAAAGTGGGATTTAAGAGCCCTGACCAGTGTGGTTCAGTGGTTGGAGCGTCATCCCATACACTGAAAGGTAGGGGCTTCGATTCCCCATCAGGGCACATACCCAAGTTTCCGCTCAACCCTGGTGGGGGTCCATGCAGGAGGCAATTGCTTAATATTTCACTTTCACATTGAGACCTCTCCCCCACCACTCCTTCCTCTTTCTCTAAAACCAGTAAAAGCTTAAGGATAAAAAAAAAAAAAAAAAGTGGGATCAGAGAGATCATTATTCAGTCCTGTGATTTAGCCCAACGCAACAGTATTTCTTCACGTATTATGAGTAAAAGAACAAGCACAAAAATCTCTTCAGTTTCATGAACTTATTATCACACACACTAACCTGGCGAAATACTTCATTTACAAAATTGACATAGCCTCGTGTTGACAAGAGGATCCGCTGCACCATTTCATACACAGTTCGGTGCTCTTCTTCAACGCTACAGAGGCTAGAGTTGCTGAGTCTTCGCTCCAACAATGTGCTGCTGTTGGAATGGTTTTTTTCTGGCTCTGCAGACCCGCTACCCTCCAACTCCAGTGCCCTCTCTTGTACTGCACCACCACCAACAGTCTGGAAGAAAGCCATTATTATCACTTCTGAGTCATCCTCTTTGAAACTGAAGAACACCTAGAAAAACTGAAGACATGCTTTATTTTAAAGAACTCTGGTTACCATCAACTTGACAACAAGATGGAAACCAGCACTGCTCAAAGCAGAAGGAGCTCCAGGACCTGTACTTACCAACTTTCCAATTCACCAACTAACCCCTCAGCAACTCAGTTATTTTAACAGAAAAACTACTAAATTATTACAGAAATGAAGATTGTGAAATGTTATCAACCTAAAAAGTTTAATGTATATTTGTAAAATCACAAAATAAATTAACATGTGAATGAATTTATATAATCATCACCACTGGTCTCTATATTGTAGCACTTATTCTATACCGGTAGAGATTTGAAAATTCAGTGGATATTTTGAAGCCACATGTTTGGAAGCATAATTGAACTCTTTTTTTAAAAAATTATTTTATTTATTTATATTTTTTGCCTATATTTTATTTTATATTATTTTTTAAATTATTTTATTTATTTTTACAAATGTTTCTCCTTTTTACCCCACTGATTCCCCACCCCCCTTCCTCCACGCCCTATCCCCAGCTTTGTTGTCAATGTCCATGCATAGTGCATATAAGTTCTGTGGTTTATCTCTCTCCCACAACCCCGTTTCCTGGGGACTGTCAGTCTGTACACTACTTCCACGTCTCTCAAACTACCTCATTCCTCAGACTGTTATGTTCCTTATATGCCACAAATAAGTGAGATCATATGATACTTGTCTTTCTCTGTTTGGCTTGTTTCACTTAGGATAATACTTTCCAGGTCCCTCCATGTTGTCCCAAAGGATAAGAGATCGTTCTTTCTTACAGCTGTGTAGTACTCCATTGTGTATATGTACCACAGCTTCTTTATCCATTCATCTACTGATGGACATTTGGGCTGTTTCCAGATCTTAGCTATTGTAAATAGTGCTGCTACAAACATGGGGGTACATATATTCTTTCTCATAGGTGTTTTAGGCTTCTTAAGGTATAGTCCTAGAAGTAGGATCAATGGGTCAAATGGAAGTTCATTTTTTAATTTTTTGAGGTAACACCATAGTGTTTTCCATAGTGGCTGCACCAGTCTGCATTCCCACCAGCAGTGCACTAGAGTCCTCTTTTCTCCACACCCTTGCCAACACTTGTTGTTTGATGATTTGTTGATGGCGGCCATTCTGACAGGTGTGAGGTGATACCTCATTGTTGTTTTAATTTGCATCTCTCTGATAATTAGTGATGTTCAATATTTCTTCCTATGTTTCTTAGCCATTTTTATGTCCTGTTTGAAGAGGTGTCTAATTAGTTCCTCTGCCCATTTTTTAATTGGGTTCTTTGTCTTTCATTTGTTGAGTAGTATGAGCACTCTATATATATATAGGAAATTAACCTCTTATCTGATATATCATTGGCAATTATGCTCTCCCATACAGTGGGTAGCCTTTCCATTTTCATGATGGTATCTTTTGCTGTGCAGAAGCTTTTCAGTTTGATGTAGTCCCATGTGTTCAGTTTCTCCTTTGTTTCTGTTGCCTTAGGTGATGTATCAGTGAAAATTCTGCTACATATGATGTCTGAGATTTTGTTGCCTACAGTTTCTTGTAGAATTTTTATAGATTCATGAGCCACATTTATGTCTTTTATCCATTTTGAGTTTATTCTTGTGTAGGGTGTAAGTTGATGGTCTAGTTTCATTTTTTTGCATGTAGCTGTCCAATTTTCTAAACACCATTTATTACAGATGCTGTCTTTACTTCACTGTATGCTCTTGCCACCTTTGTCAAATATTAACTGAGCATATTGTCTTGGGTCAATTTCTGGGTTCTCTGTTCTTTTCCACTGGTCTATATGCCTGTTCTTGTGCCAGTACCAAGCTGTTTTGATTACAGTGGCTTTGTAGTATAACCTGAAATCTGGTAATGTGATCCCTCCAACTTTGTTCTTCTTTTTCACCATTGCTGTGGTTATTTGAGGTTTTATTTGGTTCCATATGAACTTCTGAAGTATTTGTTCTGCTTCTGTGAAGTATGTCAGTATTTTGATGGGAATTGCATTGAATCTATAGATTGCTTTGGGTAGTATGGACATTTTAATGATGTTAATTCTTCCAATCCATGAACAAGGTATGTGCTTCCACTCATATCTTCCTCTATTTCTTTTTCCAATGACCTGTAGTTTTCTGCGAATAGGTCCTTTATTTCTTTGGTTAAGTTTATTCCTAGGTATCTCAATATTTTTGCCGCGATGTAAATGGGATTGTTTTTTCAGTTTCTCTTTCTGTGAGTTCATCATTGGTGTATAAGATGCCATCAATTTCTTGATGTTAATTTTCTATCCTGCTACTTTGCCAAATTCATTTATTGTCTAGTAAATTTTTGATGGAGTCTTTGGGGTTTTCTACGTATAGTATCATGTCATCTGGGAATAATGACAGTTTCACTTCCTCCTTTCCAATTTAGATCCCTTTTATTTTTTCTTCCTGTCTGATTTCTGTGGCTAAGACTTCCAGTACTATGTTAAATAAGAGTTGCAAAAGTGGGCATCCTTGTCTTGTTCCTGTTTTTAAGGAAAATGTGTTTAGTTTTTGCCTATTGAGTAGGATGTTGGCTGTAGGTCTTTCATATATGGCCTTTATTATGTCGATATACGATCCCTCTATTCCCAGACCGCTGAGAGTTTTTATCAGAAATGGGAGCTGGATTTTGTCGAATGCCTTTTCAGCATCTATTGATAGGATCATATGATTTTTATCTTTCATTTTGTTTATGTGGTGTATCACATTTATTGATTTGCGAATATTGTACCAGTCTTGCATCCCTGGGATGAAACCCACTTGGTCATGGTGAATAATCTTTTTGATGTATTGCTGGATTCGATTTGCTAGTGTTTTGTTCAGGATTTTGGCGTCTATGTTCATCACGGATATTGGTCTGTAGTTTTCTTTCTTTGTAGTGTCTTTTTCTGGTTTTAGAATTAGAATTATGTAGGCCTCAAAAAACGAGTTTGGAAGTCTTCCTTCTTCTTAAATTTTTTTATATAGTTTGAGGAGAATGAGTATTAGTTCCCCCGTGAAGCCATCCCACATGGGCTTTTGTTTGCTGGGAGAGTCTTGATTACATCTTCAATTTCTTTTGTTGTTAATGGTCTAGTCAAGTTTTCTATCTCTTCCCAGTTCAGTTTTGGGAGACTATGTGTTTCTAGAAATTTGTCCATTTCGCTTAAATATTCGAATTTGTTGCTGTATAATTGTTCACATTATTTGTTAACAGTCCTTTGTATTTCTGTAGTGTCAGTTATTATTTCTCCTCTTTCATTTCTGATTTTGTGTATTTGGGTTCTCTCTCTTTGTTTCTTGGTGAGTCTAGCTAAGGGTCCATCAATCTTGTTTATCTTTTCAAAGAGCCAGCTCTTTGTTTCATTGATCCTTTGAATTGTTTGTTTGGTCTCCATGTCATTTATTTCTGCTCTGATCTTAACTATTTCCTTCCTTCTACTTGCTCTGACGTTTTCCTTTTGTTTGCTCTCTAGCTCTTTAAGTTGTGAGGTTAGATAGTCTATTAGAAATTTTTCTTGCTTGTTGTGGTAGGCCTGTAGTGTTATGAACTTCCCCCTCAGAACTGCTTTCGCTGCATCCCATAGATTTTGTGTTGTTGTGTGTTCATTTTCATTGGTTTCCAGGAATTTTTTTATTTCTTCCTTATCTCCATGGTAACCCATTCATTGTTAAATAACATGCTATTTAGCCTCCATGTTTTCAAATGTCTTTGCTTGGTCTTGTTGCAGTTGATTTCTAGTTGCATGCCATTGTGATCTGAGAAGATGCTTGATATGATTTCAATCTTCTTGAACTTGTAGAGATTTTGTTTGTGTCCTAATATGTGGTCTATCATTGAGAATGTCACATGTGCACTTGAAAAGAATGTGAATTCTGCAGTTTTGGGGTGTAATTCTCTGTAGATATCTATTAAATCCCTTTGATCTAGCGCTTCATTTAGTGTCTATGTTTCCTTGTTAATTTTTTGTCTAGAAGATCTATCCAGTGATGTCAGCGGGGTATTGAAGTCCCTTGCTATGATTGTATTGCTGTTGATTTCTCCCTTGATGTCTTCCAAAAGAATTTTAATATATGTTGGTGCTCCTATATTGGGTGCATATGTTTCCCAAGGTTATATCTTCCTGTTGGATAGATCCTTTCAATATTATATAGTGGCCTTCTTTGTCTCTAGTTATGGCCTTCATTTTGAAATCTACTTTATCACATATGAGTGCTGCTACGCAGCTCTTGTTTCCTTTCTGTTTGCTTGAAAGATTTTTTTCCATCCCTTCACTTTCAACCTATGTGAGTCTTTTGTTGTGAGGTGTGTCTCTTGTAAACAACATATGTGTGAGTCATGCTTTCTTATCCAGTCAGCTACTGTGTCTTTTTATCAGAGCATTCAAACCATTCACATTTAAGGTGATAATTGATATGCACTTTTTTACTGCCATTTTTTTTTTTTAGTGTGGTTATATTTTTCTTCTTATTTCTTCTACTAATTGCAGCAGTCCTTTCAGCATATCTTGCAGTGCTGGTTTGGTGTTAATATATTCCCTTAGCCTTTTTTTGGTCTGGAAAGCAGAGCTCATTTTTTCAGTGACGGGGTACCTTTAAACATAATTCTTTATCTGCATTATTTTAGTTATCTAATTGCTATGTTATCTGATTAGTTATCTAATGACCTCAAAACTTAGTGGCTTAAAACAATAACCCTTTTATCATATTACATATTTCACTTTTGAGGTCAGGAATTTGGGCATGATTTGGTTGGGCAATTCTTATGTTTAATGTGGTATTAACTGAGGTCAGTGGGTGGCATGGTCTTCAGCTGACGGCTGGTTGAACTGGAAGGTCCAGGGTGACTTTATTCACATGAATGTTACTTTGGTGGGTACAGTTGGAAGTCTGGGCTCAGCTGGGCCTTTCTTCCCATGT